CGACAGCTACCACCAACTAATGCATCATGGCGCACAAGTGAGCTCCGGACCTCACTTACACGCGAGGATGGTTTTTTTTTGGGTGTGAGGCCCCTCTCCTCTTCTCCCTAAGTATTGGGACACCCTACAACCCCCTTGGGCACGCGCAAAATCTAGGACAAGGGTGCTTTTTAAGGGCAAGGGTGAGAATTGGGACGGGCTATAAACTCCCCTGAAACGTAAAACTAGTAAAGAAACTCGTTCGATATAATACAAGTCTCCTCTACATCCAGGACCATGTCTACACTGCCTGATGATGTCACAGATTTCATTAAACATGGAATCTGAGGTATGTAAATGAGAATCCAGTCATGTCGCACCTGCGTAGTTCCCCAAGGCTCCACCCTAGGCCCTCTGCTGTTCATGTATGACCCAGTTTAAGTTTGCACGAGGCATCACCTGAGGAACTCATCACACACGTGTCACGCAGCAAAGATCTGATACATGTAAATTATGGTTCACTTTGAATAATATACACAGCATGAAAAAGCTGGTCTAAAGATGTGACAGAGGCCGGAAATACATTACGCAAAAACTAGTGATAGAAGCAGAATGATTTTATGGGTCTCTCTTGTGTCTCTATGCTCTTTCTCTCTAGTCTCTCTCTCTGGTCTCTCTCATGGACTTTATCACTAGATTGCATAAACATCAGAAATAGCATGTTGTAATTCAAGCAGCTCTCTCTGAGCCTGTGTGTGCAGTCTGACGTGATGTCAGCATAAGCCCCTTGAGCAGTGTGCATGAATTAGAGCTTGTTGCGTGTTGTTTAGACTCTCGTCTCAGTCTGAGGCGAGCGTGTGACATGCTCAGCAGTGGTGGAACCGGCATGTCCTCTTGACATTCTGCTCTCGTGTCCAGCGGAGTCTGCTCTGGTTGTGGCCGCTGAGGGCGGTCAATTCGTCATAATGATTTCATGACACAGTTTCATTGTTTGAGGTTTAAAAGATAGTTACCTCAGTTTTAAGTGATGAAAATGAACACAGACATTGAAGAGAAGTCTTTAATATACAGTGCCTTGCGAAAGTATTCCGCCCCCTTGAACCTTTCAACATTTCGCCACATTTCAGTCTTCAAACATAAAGATATAAAAAAATATTTTTTTTCATGAATCAACAAGTGAGACACAATCGTGAAGTGGAACGAAATTTATTGGAGAATTTCAACTTTTTTAACAAATAAAAAACTGAAAAGTGGGGTGTGCAATATTATTCGGCCCCTTACTTTCAGTGCAGCAAACTCAGTCCAGAAGTTCAGTGAGGATCTTTGAATGATCCAATGTTGTCCTAAATGACTGATGATGATAAATAGAATGCACCTGTGTGTAATCAAGTCTCCGTATAAATGCACCTGTTCTTTGATAGTCTCAGGGTTCTGTTTAAAGCGCAGAGAGAACCATGAAGACAAAGAAACACACCAGGCAGGTCCGAGATACTGTTGTGGAGAAGTTTAAAGCCGGATTTGAATACAAAAAGATTTCGCAAGCTTTAAACGTCTCAAGGAGCACTGTGCAAGCAGTAGTGATGGCAATATGAAGCCCCATGATGCATTGAGGGTTTGCAGCCTATTACTCGGCCCATGGTTCGAAGGCTCGAGGTGATTCATGCTCCACTACGCCACCATGTGGACAAAAAAATACATAACACTCTTAAGTGCTTACAATGAATGGTGAGATCTAATGTTAAAATGTATATTTACGATCTATGGTCTAATGTGTTGTGTTTGAAATGATGCTTCATGAACTATGAACTATTTGAGTCTTTCAGTCAATTGTGTTGATACAACAAACACATCCAAAGTAATACAGTTCTACAGAAAGTGATTAATTGAGGAAAAACTACCAAGAGGTGGATTAATTAAACACAACAAACCATTTATTCCCAATAAATAAATACATTTACTTTGCAACACAAAATTTATTATGGGTAGACCAGGATTCGAACGCTATATCTTCTACTTCGGAGTCCGTCATATACCGACTGTGCCACACAGCTGTTGTGAAATGTATTATCCAGCGTATTATTACTACTAACTTGAAGCCTTGATATATGAGGTTTTACTAAAGTGAAACGTTTTTAATTGTATTTCATATGAAGTAGTTTCTCTATACTTAGTACAGGACTGCTCCACATCCCGCACACACACGTACGCACACAGAGGCAGACGGGGACAGCCAATACAGTCTATGGTACAGCCGCGGATCACAAAGCACCTGTCAAAGCAATGCACTCTCCGAACTATATGAAGCACTATATGAACCGTCATGTGGTGCGGCCGCTACGCGAGGCTTCGAACGTCACCACATACGTCACCAACAAACGCCTCAAACCACGCTTCAAAAAATACGCCCCTTTTTTACTCGGTACACGCTTCGAAGACCCGGCACGCTCAGCACATCACTAGCAAGCAGTTATATTGAAATGGAAGGAGTATCAGACCACTGCAAATCTACCAAGACCCGGCCGTCCCTCCAAACTTTCATCTCAAACAAGGAGAAGACTGATCAGAGATGCAGACAAGAGGCCCATGATCACTCTGGATGAACTGCAGATAACTACAGCTGAGGTGAGAGTCTGTCCATAGGACAACAATCAGTCGTGCACTGCACAAATCTGGCCTTTATGGAAGAGTGGCCATTTCTCAAAGATATCCATAAAAAGTCTCTTAAAGTTTGCCACAAGCCACCTGGGAGACACACTAAACATGTGGAAGAAGGTGCTCTGGTCAGATGAAACCAAAATCAAACTTTTTGACCACAATGCAAAACGATATGTTTGGCGTAAAAGCAACACAGCTCATCACCCTGAACACACCATCCCCAATTCTGTGGGACACCATCCCCAATTCTGTGGGAGGCCTGCATTCCAGGGGGAATCCCCTCTGGAGCCATGCCCCCCCCCCTGAATGGCCTGATCTTGTATGTGTGAGTCTGTGTATGGTTGTTGGTTGTTATCATTTTTCCATTTTGTGTGTGTGTGTGTGTGTGTGTGTGTGTGTGTGTGTGTGTGTGTGTGTGTGTGTGTGTGTGTGTGTGTGTGTGTGTGTGTGTGTGTGTGTGTGTGTGTGTGTGTGTGTGTGTGTGTGTGTGTGTGTGTGTGTGTGTGTGTGTGTGTGTGTGTGTTACAGTGGATTGTGGGGGGACTTCCAAACACTAGTGCTTAGTCTATGGTGATATTTGATGAAGGGTGACCAAGTTTCCGTGAAGGACAGTACGTTATCATCCTGAGATGATGGGTGATATGTGGTGATGTGTTGGGTGAGGGAGTTGATCCAGTGGTTGATATCTATACAATTTTTGGTTTTCCAGTTTAGTAAGATAATCTTCTTGGCGATAGCTAAAGATGTCAGAAGGCTTTTTGTGTATTTGGTAGGTATGGGACTGGTAGAGGTGGCGCTCAATAGACAGATAGATGGGGAGAGTGGGACTCTGCAGCTCAGGATGTCAGAGAGTGTTTGAGTGCCAAAAAGGATTGGACTGGTGTGCATTCCCACAGTGCATGTATGTACGTGTCTGTGGAGCCCATTGTGCATTGAGTGCATGTGCTTGTGTCCGTTAGTCCCATTTATGTTCAGTTATGTGTGTTCTATGAATAATCCTGTATTGTATCATATGTAAATAGGCCACATTATATCTGGAGGTTGAGGCTGTAGAGTCTGCCCTGGGAAAGTAGTGTGGTGTTATTAAGTTGTCAAATATTTCACACATTGTTAATTTTATTCATTTCATTCTCAATATAAGGTTGAGTGCGATACCAACACTTTGGATTATTCTGTGACAAGGACCTGGAATATGAAACAAGAAACACTTTTTAAATAAAGAACTCCTGTAAGAAAATGTTCTCTCTGGTTTCTCTCTCTGGAACTTCTCTGGTCTCTTACTTTGGTCCATCGGGTGTCTCTCTGGTACCTCTGGTCTCTTTGGTCCCCATGGTCTCTCTTTGGTCCCTGATCTCTCTTTGGTCTCTCTCTCTCTGGTCCCTCTGGTCTCTCCCTCATTGTGCTCCTCCGGCAGCAGACTCCTAACCATTCCAAAAGTCAGGACACAACCTCACGGTGAGGCATCTTTCCAGCACTACGGTCCCGTCTCTGGAACAGTCTGCCGGAGGAGCTCAGGGCCGCAGAGAACATTCGTATTTTTAAAAGCAGGCTCAAGACACACTTTTTTAGATTTGCTTTTGATTAGTATTTATTATTTATTATTGCGTTTTAGTGAATTTATTTATGTTTTTAGACACATTTTATTTAGGCTTTTATTTATTTATTTTACCTACCAATTTACTATTGTTATTATTAATCTTAGGTAGCTGCCATTTTTTTTTTTTGTCACATTCTAATGTTTTACTTTTTATTCTATTGTTTTAGTATCCCCAGTGTTTCCTCTGGAGGAGCCCTCTGCACTGGGGTCTGCTGTGGCTGCTGCGGTCTGGCTCTTGGATCCAGTGGGGGTCTGGGGCCTCCTCTCTCCTCCGTGTCCTGTGTCGTCCCATGTGGCTGCAGCCGGCTCTCTGCTCCTGGTGCAGATGGTTCCTTGGACGGTGCTTCTTCAGCTGGATACATCTGCCCCAGCCCTATATATTTGAATTGTTTTACCTTTTTTACATATCTGATGTGACTTTATGTGTGTGTGTGCGTGCGCGTGTGTGTGTACGCATTTGGGTGTATTTATAATAATAAATGTGGTTTATGGGTGGCTCTGTGGGGCGGTGGGGTTTAGGCATATTGGATTATTATTTAACTAAAATGTAAAACACTTTGTGTTGCATTTTTTTGTATGAAAAGCGCTTTATAAATAAAATTTGAATGATTTGATTGATTGACCCTCTTTATTATATAGCATCAGTTTCCATACTGTTGATCGCAATCATTCCTGATTTAATATATTACCCACCCGAGTCATGAGAGGAGCAGAGGAGGAAAAATGGAGGAGTGGAGGAGAAGAGGATAAGAGGAATATAAAAGAGCACATGAATAAATATTTGAAGAAGTTCAGTGAACATGGTTTTGGGCCAGCGTTTTGTGAACCTTGCTGTCGGCTTCTTAGACTGGGATCTGAATGCATAGTAGAATAAACTCTTTTCAACTGTTTGTATCTGGTTATTCCCAAAATATAGAAACAAATTATTCATTCGCGCTGTGATTAAGCAATTCAATCGAAATTGCAAACAAACAAAACAAACAAACAAAAAAAGGACTAAAGAAAGCAAAACATCTGTGGAATTTGTGAAATGTATTTATTGATTTTGATTAGTCAATGAAAAACATATTTTTTTATCTCTCTCTGATCCCCCTCGGTCTCTGTAGTCTCTACCTGGTAGAGACCAGGTAGTTTTTGTTTTCTGGCCTCTCTGAAGTCTCTGCCTGGTATCTCACTCTGGTCTTGCTGGTCTCATTAGTCTCCCTGGTCTCTCTTTGGTCTGAGGTAATGGCTTCATATATTGCTTTTTTGAATGTAAATCTCTTTGAAGTTGATATTTTCACTCTGAACAGACAGTATATTGCAGTTTTGGTCCAAAATATTGCAAATAGATATTTTGCCAAAATCTTGCAGCCGTAAAAAAATATTACTTCATTGAACAGACAGTTTTGTTTGTGTAGGCTCTCGTCATCTGTACTTCAGTTGAGTTTTGTATAAGAATGATTGGAAAAAGGTTTATATGTCCTGTATGTGTGTTCTTGTGTGCAGGGGTGATCCGCACTGCTGTCTCCTCACTGGACAGGGAGACCAGGGCTCAGTACTGCCTCCTGGTGCAGGCCAAAGACATGGCAGGCTCTGTGGGGGGGCTGTCCGGATCCACCACCGTCAACATCAGCCTGTCTGACGTCAACGACAACCCACCCAAGTTCCCCCAGAGTGAGTGTATCGAGGCTAGGACCATGTCTGCAAATGCTATTGGCCGTTTGTGTACACTCCTGTCCATCCATCATCTTCTGCTTTATTCTGCCATTCTGCCATTCTGCCATTATGAGCAGAGACCCCAGACCTCCCCTGCACACACCTGCTCCAGGTGTTCCCAGGCCAGCTCAGAGACAGTCCCTCTAGTACAGAGGGATTTTTTTTACAAAGGAATATTTTAGTAAGAGTTGAACCTGAATGTAAAACTAGTCCCAGGCCTGGAGTGGTGTTTGGATCAATCCACGCTGATATTAGGAACTTCTTTCACAAACATGTAGCTAGGCCCCTTCTGTCTTAAAGCTCCTGTCTCAGTCCTGTAATAGTATGTAATTTTACCACTATTACCTCACACTCAGAGCAGGTTTCTGCTTTTAAAACAAAAGTATTGTCCATAAATTATTTTTTGCAACTTATGGGTTTGGCTTTTAAGTTGCAAAAACAAAAGTTGTTGAGACTTGTTTGTCTGTGATGTTCTGTTTGTTCATTGAGCAGATTGAGCTGCTGTGTTGTCCTGGACCTGTGTATGTGTGTTAATGGTGACCTGTGTGGTTTGGGGACGACATACACACAGTTTCTTTTCCATGCGAGGGACTAGTGGAACGCCTCCTTTCATATAACATACAACAACCAGGAGAATTCACCACAAGGAAGGAGGAAGCTCCAGTGCTGATGGAGGCTCATGCACGCTCTAAACATGTCTGCGCCACTAGATCAGCAGCAACCATACTCTCGATAATTTAACCAAATATATAATTACAAGTGAACTTCCAAATGTATTGTACAAAGAGAAAAATTAGTCTGGAAGAGCATCATTATGAGACCAGATATGCCACCATAAACTTCCCAAAGTAGAAACAACAATGGAAGAAATACTGTAATGTATAGAGCCATGTGTGGTTGGAACACTTTGCCAAGGGACAGTATTCATGCAAACAGTCAGTATACCAATTTAGGCCCTTTTGAAAAGATATCTGTTTAATGTAACTGGTTGTGTTAGTTGTATGACCAAATATCATGCTGCTAAGGATTAGAATACTCTCATGTTTTCAGTTTTTAAGAATATTCCTAGGTCCTTCGTACAGTTGCATGTGTATTTCGGTATGTAACGTGTGTGTGGGGGTGGGGTGTGTAGTTTAATGTATCACTTGTTGGTGAAAACTCGTGAAAATATTGTTTTTGTGACCAGCATGCTGGACTGACTCCAGGAAGAAAAGGAGGATCTTGGGGTGACGTCGTTGTTTATAGTTTTTCCACGCCGGTCACGTGACCGGGTGGCAATACAGACTAGAAAGCTACCTGGATGCTAGAGAGTTAGCAGTTTTTAGACGTTTGGAGAGAGGTTTTACTAAATCAAATGCTCCATTCTTGTTGTGTGGTCGGTTGTACGGCCCGCTGGAGACAGATTCCGTTTTTTTTCTAATTCTTTCGGAAAATGACTGAGAGAAACGGCCGGTAAAGTGGTTGCCCTTTTATGCTGTTACAGTACCTACGGTAAATGTAGAACGGGAAGCCGTGGAGATGAGGGGATAAAAATTCATAAACAAAGAAACTACTTCCACTGCGCACTTGTTCACTCATTCATTCATTAATGAATGAAGATTAATTTTAAACATTGCATTTTGGTTGCTCATCCCCTCGGCTTCCTGTTCCACCTTCACCGTAAGTAACAGCAAAAAGGTGGCGAAATGCCGGGCCACTTTACCGCGGTGAAAAACACGAGAAATGGATTTTCACCACGGACCCTTCCTGAGTGAAGGGTCCCTGGTTTTCTATGAAGTAAGAATAAATGTCTCCGAGTCCCAGTCCCAGCAGATCGGTGCCAATGTTTTTTCTCGTCATCCAAGGTCTCATATGGGCTTTGAATTTGTTCAGTTCGGTCTCATATACTTATTTTTAGCTTGTCTTTATATACAGTGCTATTCGCTCACTGAGTCTTTTAAAAGTATTTGTCGCATCCATGCTTCAGTATGTGCCGCTCTGTCTTTTTGACACTCAGCGAGGGGCGCATGTGCACCCAGGTGTAAACAAAGATCCTCCTATAGCTGTACTTGTTACAACTAATGGAGATCAACTAAAGTTCTGTCTGATTCAAGGACAAACCCCCCAAAGCTCCACGTCCAGATCTCTGTTCATGTGCCAGAAGAGAAAGGCTTTTTTCTTATTTGGTGTTTTTCTGTGTTCTGTTGTAAGCACCCTTTGCTTACAACAGAACAATTGTAATTGTTTAATTGTAATCGGCGAGTTAAATGTGGTGCTGTGTGCATTTCATATTTTAGAATGTATAATACTGAATTCAAGTAGAACATGAATGGAGTGAACAAAAATGGAGTAAGAGATGACTCAGATGTGGTGCCTCTATCTCCATTTAAAAGCATTCTCAAGATAAAAGACAGATGTATGTCGTTATGGTGTAAGGCTTCATTTTAACAAATTTGAAAACAGATCTTGTGTTTGGCTCTCATTTGAAAAACAGTACAGGAAACTACAGTCACGAACAGGTTTTGATTAATCACTGATTTCTTAAACTTTCAAATAATATTATTTATCTATTTGAATGAAACAGTGTTATGTAATGCAGAGGATCAGTGAGGGGCTGGTGCTATGTGAATTGGGTGGCACCCATCAAGTCTTGTGTCAGATCACACCATACAAAAACCATGAGGTCATACTTGCATGCAAAAGCCTGATCCCGTGAGATCTCTGAAGATGTGCAGGCCATGAACTGGTTAGTAACGTGATGGGAGACCTCAGAGAACCCTAGGTGCCACAGCGTGGTGGCTGTAGCTGTTAAGTGCAAAACTGTCATTGTGTCTTTAGGCAAGACACTTCACCCACATTGCCTAGGATGAGTCTGATTTTGTGGGGATCAGAGGGGCTGATGGCACATACTGGTTGCACCTCTGTCAGGGTGCACCAGGGTAGCTGTGACTGCAGTAGCAGTTTATCACCACTGTGTATGGAGTGAAAGAATGAGAATGAGCTGTGAAGAGTCCTTAAGTCTCCTGAAAAGCGCTATATATAAATGCATCTGACTTTTGCTGATGTAGGGGCTGTTAAAGATTTGTGTGAGGACTGCCCTCTTCTCTGTCCTCTCATCCTGAGCCTTTCTTCGTGGAGTTTGCATGTTATCCCTGTGTCTTTCCGTGCTCTGGTTTCCCTCACCACCCAAAACATCAAGGACCCCCCAATCACATTCTCCACACCCTCCCTACAACAGCCCATTGCGGCCCTCGTGTCCTTGTAATCACACACAAGTTCATAGCATCATCTAGCCAGCTTCAGCTCAGCCAATGACTCGTGTAACACCTCATTATAACTCCCAGAACCTCTGGAATCCACCTGTTTTTATATACATAATTTCCAAAATTCCATATGGTACGGATGCAGATGTGGTGAGATAGATAGTAAATTGTTGTGGGTATTTGTTTCTCACTCCACAAAGAGATGGGAGCGGGATTGGCCATACAGGATGCCAGAACTATCGTACATGTTTTTAGTGTTAGGGGAAACCGGAGCACATAGCAGAAACCTATGCAGACACAGATACGGAAAGGCCTGGAGGTGGAATCAAAGGACCTTCTTGCTGTGAAGCATAAGCGCCAACCACTGCACCGCCCAAATAATAAACTTCAGTTCTGTCAACTGAATCAATACAAATCATACCATTTAAAGCTGCTTGAATACAGTCAAAACAGTTTTCAAATCTGGGTTGTTGGGCGATGGTCAAGTCTAGTGAACTAGCAGGATCATGTTTGGACACCCCTGCCTCTATGTATTTGTCCATGTCATCATATTACCTATCATAAACTGTCTTTACATTTGTGCAGCGTGAACAAGCAGGAACAGAAGGAAGTGTCAAGGATTAGATGAATGAGGACTCAAACGCAGGAATGCCAAAATAATGATTCAATAAAATAGTCCTATAGCAAGTCCTATAGCGCCGTGGCAAGAGCTCTGGTGTGTGTCGTCTGGTGCACACTGGGGTAGTCTTGCACAGTTTTTCCTATGTGGTTTTACTGCAAATGGCAAATAAATGAATCTGAATCTGAATCTAAGTATAAACAAATCTCCAAAATCCAAAGTAACCAGGAACAGGACAGAACTTGACAAGACAATGGACCAGCAACAAGAGAAGAGAAGCACAGGGTACATAAAGAGACACACAGACAATCAATAGGAGAACAGGAAAGGAAGTAAAACTGAAATTAAACTACAGAGAACTAATGTCAAAATAAAACCAAATACAGAAATAAAATACACACCATGACAGGATGTTTTTATAAAGACAACTTTCACATTATCCTTGGACCTTTGGACATTTCTATCATTGGCATTAAATGTGCAATGTTCTGGTTTATTATGCACATTCTTGGTCAGATGTTATGTCTTATCCGAAACCACTGAAGGAACATGACAATCACAAATTTTCAGTAAAGATAATTGACTTTATATGGCACAACACTGTTCCTCTTCAAAAACAGATCTGCATTGGATTCAGACTGTTGAGCTGTAGACTTTTTGTTGATTAATGCTAGTTTTATTTTGATGTATATAGCATCTCTTGTTTGAGTTTTACTGCCTGTGTGTGCCTCTCCCTAATGTGTTACACTTGTCATGGTGTCCAAAAAAAGACAGCGGCCATCTTGGTCATGTAAATTTCACGACTTCATGGTGTTTGGGAGGTGGTTGTTTGAATCTTTCATTTGGGCCTGGTGAAGTTGAAATGAATGAGCCTGGCATGTGCACTTGAACTCAGCGTGCCCTCTCCTCTGCACCACTGGAGACAAGAGGCAAGTCTCGACCTGGCTCCAGATGCCTGCCTTTAAGAGTGTTTGGCTACTCTGCTACTGGTGCTTATGGAAACAAAGTCTGATACAAGTCAATTAGAATGTTTTTCACCTGTTTATGATGGATTTGGGATGTGGGATTGTAAAGTGGAATGTTGTATCAATCTATTTAATTGTTCCTGTAGCTCTGTGTTAGGCATACACCAACTACAGTATATATAAAAGAGGACAGATGCAAGATACATACAGACACAACAAAAAATAAACCATACTTACTGTGCAAAGGCAAGAAGGGGGAGTGGCTCTGGCCCTCAGGAGGCCTTCAGGTACATGGTGTTTTCAGGGAGAGGATCCACAGACTGAGAGACCCCCACTGTATATCAGCCGTGATGTCATCCACATGTCACATTCTATTGGTCAGTTAGGGGGGTCCGCCAGGTCATAGAGATGGCACTCTATACTAAAAGATACAAAAGCACAATGGAAACACAACCAGATAGCGTAGAACAGAGTAGAATGTGCAGCCCGGTATGGCCGAGGCCAGAGCCACGTTTGCATCGTTGGTAGTAAGTCAGACCTGTTCCCTGTACATGTTGGTTTCTGCCAAGGCTGCTCTTTGTCACTGGTTCTGTTCACTGTCTTTATGAACAGAATTTCTAGGTGCAGCTAGGGGCCAGAGGAGTTCAAGTATCTCAGGGTCTTGTTCACAAGTGAGGGAAGGATGGAGCATGAGATCAGGCGGATTGGTGCAGCGTGCGCAGTGATGCGGTCGCTGTATCGGACCGTTGTGATAGAGAGGGAGCTGAGCCGATCACCTATGGTCATGAGCTTTAGGTGATGACCAAAAAGACAAGATCGCGGATACAAGCGGTTGAAATGAGCTACCTCCGCAGAGTGGCTGGGCGCTCTCTTAGAGATAGAGTGAGGAGCTCCGTCACACGGGAGGAGCTCGGAGTAGAGCCGCTGCTTTTCCACGTCGAGAGGAACCCGTTGAGGTGGCTCGGGCATCTGTTCCGGATGCCTCCTGGACGCCTCCCTGGGGAGGTGTTCCGGGCACCTGGAGGAGACTCCGGGGAAGACCCAGAACATGCTGGAGGGACTATGTCTCTCAGCTGGCCTGGGAAAACCTTGGATGGGCTGGAGGAAGTGTGTGTGGATAAGGAAGTCTTCTGACTGGTGGTTGTGCTCTGCCCATATTCTTGTGTCCAGAAAGTTACCAGCTGTACGTGGCGGAGCAGGCCCCAGTGGGGACCCCCGTGGGAAGGATCCAGGCCACGGACGAAGACCTGGGCTCCAACGCGGACATGAGATACAGCATCACCAACACCGAAGCCGCCGCCATCTTCCACATCAGCTCTGAGCCTGTGAACCGTGAGGGCATCATCTCCCTCAAGCAGGTACCTCACAGGGGAGAGGCCCCATCATGTCACCGCCATGTCAGGAGGAAGTCCACCCCACTGTATTTGTACAGCATTTTATCTACAGTGTTTAAATTGCAACACAGAAATTAAATGATAAAATCTTGAAGTATGCAGAAAAAATACCACAATTAAAAGTGTATAAATAATATTAATGAAATAAAATAATAAATATAAAATAATAAAACAATACATTCAATTAAAATAACAAATTCAAGATGTTCAGAATAGTATTTTTCTGCTCCTACAAATGGACAGACTGTAGATCCAGGACTGAGGCTGTAGATCTTGGACTGAGACTGTAGATCAGCTGTGTCAAGCTGGTCCTTAAAGGGCCGGTGTGGCCGCAGGATTCAGTTCTAGCCCAAGCAGGAGGACATCAGACTCCAACAATTTCCTCAAGAGAGTCCTGTTTTAACTTGAAGATTTGAGGAAATGGGTGAAGTCTGGTGTGGTCCTGCTTGGGCTCGGATTAAAACTTACAGCCACACCGGCCCTTTCTGGAACCGGTTTGACATCCCTGCTGTCGATCTAGGACTGAGGCTGTAGATCTAGATTAGTTTAGTTTATTTCAAGCAAACAATGAAAAAGTGTTCATCATGTACAACAATAATAATAACCCCCCTCCCCCCAAAAAAACAGTGGTCGTTGGAACACTGTTAGTAGAACAAAGAATATGGGGTGAAGTCGAACACTTATTGATTCCCAAACTCTTTTTCATCGTCTAAACATAATTAGTTACATATTTACAATATGTTTGCATCATAAACAAAACAAGTAATTTTCCTTCATGTACAGCCAATTGTGGCCCACTAGAGTTTTCTCTACAATGTTGGTAAAGTCGTTTCTGTAGAGTTTGTTTGGTTTCTCCAATATAGTGGTCAGTGCACTCCTCTTCACTACATTTAATTGAATTCACCACATTGCTCTCTTTGTGTCTGGGTTTTTTGTCTTTGGGATGCACCAATTTCTGTCTTAATGTGTTGAAAGGTTTGAAATACACAGGGATTTTGTGTTGCCTAAAGATTCTTTGTAGTTTCCGTTCAGAGCAATGTGGTGTATTCAATTAAATGTAGTGAAGAGGAGTGCACTGACCACTTTATTGGAGAAACTAAAACTCTACAGAAACGAATTTACCAACATCGTAGATAAAACTCTAGTGGGCCACAATCGGCTGTTCATCTCCACTAGGCCACCAACCACACCGTGAACGACACGGAGGTAAAAATTCTGTCTCAAGACAAAAATTGGTTTGAGAGAGGGGTGAAAGAAGCCATTTTTGTGAGGAAACACAAACCTTGTCTTAACAGAGGAAGATTTGTTTTGCCTCGCATCTATGACGAGTTCCTAAAAACAACGACTTAACTATAGATAAGGTCAGTGACATGCTAATGAGTTAGGAGTGGATCTCAGCAGACAATAGGTCTGTGACTTGCTAATGAGTTAGGATCGTTAGCCCTAGCAGGGTCGCTAGACCTGCTCCCTTCCACATCAGACAGACCTTAGATTGCTAATGAGTTAGCATCAGGATTAGGGTGTGGCTAACCAACCCATAGGTTATACATGTCCAACGTGCAATCTGAGATTTCATTCCCTTGAAAAAGTTATTTGGTTTGAGGACGAAACGTCGGGAAAACCTGCTAGGAAGTACAGATGATGGGTGAGAAACCTTCCATTGCTACCCTTGGTAATATGAAAGGTTGCTTTCCTCTCAGCACATACCCTCCTTCTCTCTCAGTAAAAAAAGAAAAACAAATCTGTACATTTTGAGGTAGATCCTTACTCTTTGACCTATCCAGAACCTGTACTGTTTGTAAATCCCCCAGATCTGAAGATTTTAGTAATTTGGACTCAATGAAAAATAAATATGTATGTTCCCTAAAGCCTGCTCCATGGATGACTCTTAAAGCTCTCTTCAGCAAAATAACAAGTGGCTGAACTGTTGATGTGTAATTGTTGCCCCAAACTTCAACACAATAAGTTAGGTATGGCAAGACTAATGAACAGTAGAGCATACGTAAAGACTTCTGGTTTAAAACTTGCCTTGCTCTACTCATTATCGCTATGCTCTTTGAAACCTTACTCCTGACATGACTAATGTGTGCTTTACAGTTCATCTTATTATTAATTATGACTCCAAAGAATTTTCATTAACCATTTCAATACTCACTCCATCCAGCTTAACTTCTATGTGCACATTACTTCTACCATTCCCAAACATCATTATCTTTGTTTTCTTTAAATTTAGTCATAATTGATTTGTATCAAACCATAATTTAATCTTCTCTAGCTCTCTATTTTTTCTCCTGCACTAGTAACTGAAGGTCACACCCTGAACAAAAAAATATTGGTGTCATCAGCAAACAACACCAATTTCAATACATCAGACACTTTGCATAAATCACTAATATAAATAAGAAACAATTTTGGGCCTAATACTGCCCACTGTGGGACCCCGCAAGATATGTCAAGGCATTCAGAGAAATAAAATCTCCCAGCTTCACAAACTGCTTCTTTTGAGTTGACCAGCTTGTTCAGTCTACTCCTGTCCCTCTCTGTGCTGCCCGGGGCCCAGCACATCGCAGCGTAGTATATGGCAGAGGCTCATCAGCTCAGACCTCTCTTGTCTCAGTATACATGCAGACTCAGACCTCTCTTGTCTCAGTATACATGGTTAAAAAAGAATGCTGTGTGACGTATGTTCAGGTGTGTGTTACGCTGAGTTGGGTGTGCGCGTCCAAAAGACCACGGGATCAGCCTACACCTACAGCTACGTCACCGTGGGGGAGTTCGTGGCCTTCTTCATTGGCTGGAACCTGATTCTGGAGTATTTGTTCGGGACGGCAGCTGGGGCCTCGGCGCTCAGCAGCATGTTCGACTCTCTGGCCAATCACACCATCAGCCACTACATGATCACTCACCTGGGGACTCTGCGAGGCCTGGGTTAAGCACGTTTATGAATGAAATGTGTTTGATTATACTTTTCATGCTTCTTCTCAAAAGGCATACAGTAAGTGGCTCATCTCAATATTGATATAAAACCATGTAATATGACGCAAATCCACACATCACCAAAATCACTAGCAGAATAAACCTCACGTTAAAGGCCCTGTAAGCTTTGCTATGGCCGCAGATCAAGTTAGCGATCAGCAACTTCTTTCATTTGAGCAAAAATGCCTGTTCAACGCTCTTTATGCCTCAGTCCTTGTTCTACAGCCTGACTCCTGGAGGTCAGTGATGATTCACGACATCTACGGACATTATAAACTTTTCCGAACAGTGGTCATCCTGCTCCCTGTGGACCAATGGCTGTGTCCGTTCATTGCCATTCACACACCAGACTCATTCTAGGCAATATGGGTGAAGTGTCTTGCCTAAGGACACAGCAAAAGCTTGGCACTATACAGTCGCAGCCACCCCACTCTGGCACCTGTTAGAGAATCAACAGCACACACACACACACACACACACACACACACACACACACACACACACACACACACACACACACACACACACACACACACACACACACACACACACACACACACACACACACACACACATACACTCATACACACACACTCTCACACACACACTCTCACACACACACACACACACAGACACAGATGAAAGCATGTTGTGGCGGCTTTGTTGTTTGCTGTCAGAATCACTGAAACTCCACAGTAACAACAGATTATTTTCTCAGTTTGTGCTGTTTGGACCAATGTGTGTTAGTGTGTGTTTGTGGGAACATTTGCTTTGATACTAGGGGCTTTTCCAGACGGCAATTTAAAAAAAATTGTCTGTGCTGTAATTGTATGTTATTGTCTTTTAAAAAAACATTCGGTCAGAATGGCTTTTATGTTTTGTTTCTAAAACGTTGTATGTAGAGACTTTTATGAGCTTTGTTCTTCTTGTGAATGGGGTTCTTCTTTGGCTTTCTTTGAGTTTCTCCATGCAATGCATAGCTCCATACTCAAAGGCCACAACACAAACATAATTAGATACATAAGCCTCATTTTCACCAGCCCTAATCTACACTACACCTCTCTATTCTATTCTTCTTCTCTTCTTGGTCCTGGTTCTATCCAGGCTGAGCTGGAACTAAAGTGTTCTATCTGACAGTCATTGGACAGACTACTGCTGGAAGCTATGGTTACCAGGGAATTTCCTCGAATATTGTTTTTATGTGGGTAGGTTGCTAGGATAGGTTACCAGATACAAAAGCATAATGGATACACAACGGAGTATAGTAGAGCCAAGTAGGGCTGGAATCCAGGGCTCTACTCAGCCTTTATCTACTATACTATATGATAATATGCGGACAACATTTGGCTCCTCTTGGGTTACACTGAAAAGTCAACTCTTCTCAGTAGCTTTATAACCGTTTGTGTCACACTCACCATTTTTGGCTTAAAAGAAATCTTGGTCCGGTGTTCTGTCGAGTTGGTCTGCCCGTCGAGATGATCTGCCTCGGCTGTTAATGATGTAATGCAAACCTGCGCATGCGCGTCTCACGCATAGACTGTATATATTATCTCGAATGTCACTTTTAATGTAATTTGAGGCGAGATGTTGATGGTTCCGCGTTGTGATATGTGGGTTTTAAGAGTAAGAGTTTCGTGTAAAGTTTGTTTTAGGCAGTCAACTGTTCCTGTGAAACTACACTGGTAGTGTACCCAAATCTAATGTGCGCATGCGCATAAATCCGCTAGAATGGGGAAAAAACTAGATCTAATTAAATATTTTGTTGAAACACACTATAGTTAATCATATTGAATACAGTATGATACATGCATTAAATTACATTTATTATTTCCATTATCAACCTGACAGACCAGGTTGGACACTGGACACGTCATGGGCCTCGTCAGTAAAATTACGTATGCAGCAGTCAACTCAGGGACTGCTTTCATAACAGTAGCAGTGTAGTTTCACAGGAGCAGTGGACTGCTTAAAACAAACTTTACACAAAACTCTTACTCTTAAAACCCACATGTCACAACGCGGAACCATCAACATCTCGCCTAAAATTGCATTAAAAGTGACATTTGTGTCTTAGTTCGTTCGTATTTCAATTTTTAGAGCAATTCGCGGACTTCATGTCCGCCATCTTGGATTGCTTCGGCTGCCGTGAGACGCGCATGCGCAGGTTTGCATTGCATCATTAACAGCTGAGGCAGATCATCTCGACGGAACACCGGCTCTCTTTGTGATCCTGGTGTTTATATTGTGATGTTGTCTTTATAAATCCAGAAAAGAGCTGTATAAGGATTGACCAATCAGAGGCTTTCATTTGTAGAAGAATCTCCAACATTCCCTAGGAAGCAACATTGCAACATTGTCCCTGTTCTAGTTCTACAGCCTCAGTCCTAGCTCTATAGCCTCTATCCTGGATCTACTGCTGCCGTACGTGGCAGCGGATCCCTCCCTCAATATGAGTCTCTCTTTTTGCCCACTGGGATTCTCAGTGGTTCCTTGCTAATGCAGGAGGGTCTAAGGACAGTTATGATCCGGGACATGTATTTATTTATTTATTAGTATAAAGTGCTGACCAAAAGTTTGGACACACCTTCTCATTCAAAGAGTTTTTATGTTCATGATTATGAAAATTGTAGTTTCACAATTACCTCGGACACGGGCCAGGCTCGGACACTTTTATTTATTCATTTTCAGGGCGGCAAATTACATTTACGAATGCACCCAATGAATATAAGCAAGGCAAGGCAAGTTTATTTGTATAGCACAATTCATACACAAGGCAACTGAAAGTGCTTAACAAAATAAGATTAAAATTCCAAGAGCATTAAAATCATAAATATTTGAACCTTTCAACATTTCGCCACATTTCAGGCTTCAAACATAAAGATATAAATACAATTTGTTTTGTCAAAAATCAACAACAAGTGGGACACAATCGTGAAGTGGAACGAAATTTATTGCATAATTTAAACTTTTTCAACAAATAAAAAACTGAAAAGTTGGGTGTGCAATATTGTTCGGCCCCCTTGCGCTAATACTTTGTAGCGCCACCTTTTGCTGCAATTACAGCTGCAAGTCGCTTGGGGTATGTCTATCAGTTTTGCACATCAAGAGACTGGAATTCTTTCCCATTCTTCCTTGCAAAACAGCTGGAGCTCAGTGAGGTTGGATGGAGAGCGTTTGTGAACAGCAGTCTTCAGCTCTTTGCACAGATTCTCGACAGTCTTCTCCTTGTTTGAGATGAAAGTTTGGAGGGACGGCCGGGTCTTGGTAGATTTGCAGTGGTCTGATACTCCTTCCATTTCAATATAATTGCTTGCACAGTGCTCCTTGAGATGTTTAAAGCTTGGGAAATCTTTTTGTATCCAAATCCGGCTTTAAACTTCTCCACAGCAGTATCTCGGACCTGCCTGGTGTGTTCCTTTGTCTTCATGGTTCTCTCTGCGCTTTAAACAGAACCCTGAGACTATCAAAGAGCAGGTGCTTTTATACGGAGACTTGATTACACACAGGTGCCTTCTATTCATCACCATCAGTCATTTAGGACATTGGATCATTCAAAGATCCTCACTGAACTTCTGGACTGAGTTTGCTGCACTGAAAGTAAAGGGGCCGAATAATATTGCACGCCCCACTTTTCAGTTTTTTATTTGTTAAAAAAGTTTAAATTATCCAATAAATTTCATTCTACTTCACGATTGTGTCCCACTTGTTGTTGATTCATGACAAAAAATTAAAATTTTATATCTTTATGTTTGAAGCCTGAAATGTGGCGAAATGTTGAAAGGTTCAAGGGGGCCGAATACTTTCGCAAGGCACTTTAAGTGGAGGCTGCAGTGGCTCAATTTGAGCCTGGAGGTCGTGGGTTCGAGCCCACCACCAGACCTTCTCCACCGACTCCCACTGATGTCTGCTGTTGTTGTGTCCTTGGACAAGACACTTAGGCTGCGGTCACATGCGCAGCCTAAAGCCCGGTTTAAGTGCGCCAGGGCTCGCTTCGCGATTAGATCCGGGCTTTAGGTGCCATCTGACCGCGGCATTCGCGCCAGAGCACGATTCCTGGACTTGTGCTCTGGCCCGGTTAAAAACTGCGGCCGGCAGGGCCCGCTTCCCAGCGCAGATGAGGAGGGTCAGTGTGGCGGGTGGTGGGGAGTGGGGGATTAGGTGCGGGAGGACTTGATATTGCGCGTCACATTATGTCTTCCTGTGACACGTATTTTCACACACGTCTCTCCTGCACTTTCGTATTCTCCGCTGTGTTAAACCTTTCATATAAGCCCCGGACAGTGCTCGAGGGGCGCCGGGGAAGTGTCTCTCTGCAGAGCCAAAGAAAAGCGTTTCCTACGGGTATAGCTCTCTTCTGTCCTGACCGTTATTAATATAGATCCATGATCCTGACTCTCGCTTTCAGTGTGGTGCGATTGCAATAACACTTCAGACATTCAAGAATCAGTCTTTATTTAATCACCACACAAACACACACACACACTTGTAACCTCGCTGTCTGCGGTCGCTCTGCTCATACGCCACACTTTTCATTCCTTCATTCTCATTCATTCATTTCTCAGCGCTCGTTACTAAACAGTATGTGTGTGTGTTTGTGTGCGTGTCCGCAGCACGCACACGCACACACATGCACACCAACACACACGTGTGCACACACATGTTACCCACTGAACTGCTGCACTTTGCATCAGAGCAATTTGGACAAGTGTGAGATGTATCTTTCCCTGAAAAACACGATCCGTACTGAGCTGTTAGCTAATGTAGCTGTACCTGTTAGCTGTTAGCTACAGTAGCAGAATGTAAACATGAAAAGAAGCGGATCTCAACCAGGGCAACGAGGTAGTCTCTGGTGTTAGTATTAGCGCCACCAGCTGGACCGAGTGTTGTATTACAGCACAATTTTCCTGGCACGGTTCAGACAACACGTTCATGTGACCGCGGGCCGTTTTCACACCCCTGTGGCGACAATCCGGGCCACTTGGCCTATGTGACCGTGCCCTCAACCCCCTACTTTGCCTGAAGCCCCTGCTGAAAGACCAAGGCTATGCTATAGAGCAGCCGTCCTCCTTGTGGACTCACCACCTGCAGGAGGATCAGTGCTATGTGTACTGGGTGGCATCTCTGGCCCTCCCCCCGACCCAAAAATGGATTAATCCATATTAATGGATTAATATGGAAGAATATTAATGGATGGATGGACTTCTGATTTAAGAGACCATAGAGTTTGCAGATAACAATATTTGTTCACAAATAATTGACAGAGTTTTGTGGAAAAGGTTGGCCACAACTTCATCAATTAAATCCCACATCTTATTTCTTTGAATGTGGCTAAATAAAGATTTTACTTATTTAGCAATAATATACCTTAACTTAAAGCTTTGAGATCTAACTTCCCCCCAATTAATACATGTTGTTTGTCCCAGCAGAAAGACTAGACAAAGTGAAATGTCATGTTGTGTTTTAAGACATAGGGATAGGATATTTGTTCAGAGTACCATCTCCATTTGCAGTATTTTGCTGCCTTGATCCATCCTCCCACTCGTGTCTGAACTCCACACAGCTGTTTGTCTGCAGGCTCTGCTCTGCTCACTGACCTCTGCAGCTGCCACATCCAGAGCTCATCCCTGTTCCCCATGTTCACGTAAGCTCTGAGGCCTCCAGACGCAACCGTGCCCCTCACAACAACAGCGGTCAGTGTAAATCTGTGGACAACTCGGTGTGAAGAATGTGGAAAAACCATCACTATCAACACTACTTTATCCATCCCATTTATGACTTCAGCTGTAGTATTTTCATGGCTATTCACCCCCTGTCCCATTGTCTGTTTCATGGCGTGCTGAGGGGTGGGAAGCCTGGGGGCCTCTTGAGTCCTGTTCCACTCAGCCTCAGTCCTGGATCTACAGCCTCAGTCCTCATTCAACAGCCGAAATCCTGAATCTACAGCCTCAATCCTGGATCTACAGCCTTAGTCCTCGCTCAACAGCCTCAGTCCAGGATCTGCAGCCTCGGCCCAGAATCTACAGCCTCTATGCTGGATCTACAGCCTCTGTCCTGGATCTACAGCCTCAGTCTTGAATCCTCAATTTAAAGAATTTGCTATTAAAAAGTGAACTTTTGTTCAGTGTGTGTCAGTGTATCATGCTTCATGGCTGTATTTCCACTCTGTAATCCTCACACGTGCAGGTACATGACTCTTGTCACAGAGCCACATGTGCATGACTCTATCACAGAACCACTTGTGCAGACTCTACGCTCCACATGTCACAGCTGCAGATTACAGCTTAACTCCACTCAGAGCTGCAGCTTTACTGACATTTCAGTCCATTCAGCAAAAACAGTGGATCTCAGCAAAAACTCCAAATGCAGAACACGTTCAACTCTCTGCTCTTCAACAGAACGTGTGCTGATCTTGTGAACTTTGTAAAACACATATAGTACATATTTTTAGCATTAACACTCAATTTAGTCTTTGTCTTGTCATATGAGTAGAAGTCATCATTGTTTGTTTGAACCCCCAAGCTGTAGAGGTGTAACATGTGTTTCTCCCAGTTGCATTTGGCCGATGAGTGACCTGCCCTTCAGTGCCTAACTGTGTGGGGCTCTGAAGGGGAGACTGATGTAGGGTCCTAAGTGCAAGTGCTGTCCATTGAAATGCCGGTTTTCATTCAGACTTTTAACTTGAATGAAACCATACAAAATACATTTTCTATGCTGTTTCCATGGATTATTATGAAGTTTCCTCAACACCGTTCTGAGCAGTTTTGGTTTCTTCTCCAAGAAGCTTCTCTCCAAAAGCACCTTAAACTTTGGAACAGAAATTGATAATACATATTTTTTCAAACCTATTCTATAACATATTTTTGGGCAGTCCTAGATCTGAAGTGGAGCCCTGGTTTTACAGCCTTAGTCCTGGTTCTACAGCTTCAGTCCTGGATCTACAGCCTGTCTTTGGAAGCAGAACTCTCTCTCATTACGGGCCAGCTCTAGGTTTTGGCTCCTAAGTGTTTGTTATTATTACATTTTCTGTGTTCAAAGTCTTTAATTTTCTGACCTTTTGTTGGCAAAGTGACAATATCCTCCAAAACAACTACTGTTGTGATTTTTTGTTATTTTATGTACATAAATAAATTCTATCAAATGTTTTTATGGTTAAAAAAAGCATTATAAAAGGAAATGCATATAAATTAAAAAGATTTGCAACTTGTCAAGAGCAATGAAAGAAACGACGACTTAAAATCTACAAAGATATATATTTATTTTATTCAAATCCATGAAAATGCGTGAACGTGTAGAACCTCAGGCACTTTGAGGTCCTCACTACGACATGCTCTAGAAAAATAAACTCCACTGACCTACACAGAGCAACACGTGTGGTCACTGCTCTGGACTATGCTCAACAGTCCTTTTTTTAAGAATCTGTGGATGGCATAAGAAAAGTTCATGATCTGAGGTCTAAATAGTGTGTGAACAATTATAGAAATTGTTCACACACTATTTAGAGTATCAGAAGTACAAAACCGTGTTGTTATTTACAAAATTAATATATATCTTGAAACAAGAATTTGTCTTGACTATATCATTTTGCCAAACTTTATTACTTCAGTACTGCATCCAAATTGGAATCCAAATGTTCACAATGCCAATAATTGTGTCTGTCTAGCTACACTATGTAACTTTCTGGGAAAAACTAAAACAAGTCCGTTTACTTTTTATCATATTCATCATATTTTCTCAATAGGGGATGATGAGAAAGTAGTATGATTGGTAAATACAGAGCTTGGACTTCAGTCGCTGCTCCCTCTTCACCACAGCACTTCTAAACAATCCTCCTGCTTAAATTCTTTGGCTAAGAATGTTTTGCTAAAACATAAAACCAACCAATCTGCTTTAACCTCAAGAAAACTCGATGTGGTTTGATTGTCGACCAAACCAGTGACCACACGGTGACACACCATTCACATCACATTATAGCCCCGTTTTCACCTCCCATACTTGGCCCTACACACTCTCCTCTACTCTAGTTTCTGGTACCATATGTTATAAACCTACCCACAACAAACCAGTATCAATTGAAATTCCTTGGAGACCATGGCTTCCAGCAGCACTCCAGTAAACACTTTAGTACCAGCTTGGCCGAAATATAACCAGGACCAAGAGGAACTGTAGAAGGATCTGGAACCAGTTTAAGAGAACCAATGGAAACGCTCCCAATAGAGTAGGGTAGGGTAGGGAACGGTAGAGCAGGGTAGAGTAGGATAGGGTTGGGTAGAGTAGAGCAGGGTGAGGTAGGGTAGGCTAGAGTAGTACAGAGTAGGAGTATGGGGTGGGATAGGGTTGGGTACTGTGGTGGAAACAGGGCTCTTTGCAGTTTCCACAGATTATACAAAAGTAGATCTCCAAAACGGTCCTCAACTGTCGGAGTCGGCTTCTGGTGTCTCCTGTGTGTCCATGATACTTGCCAGCACCTTAAACGGCTGCCCCCAGTCTGCGAGCGAGCTAAAGTCCCCCACGTCCTCTACAGGCCACCCCTCCTCAATGGAGCTCAGCGACCCGGCCTCCGAGCCCTCGCCCTCATACGCATATGTGGCCAGTGAGTCGTAAGCCGGGACTGTGTGCTGCCCCTCCCCCAGGCGTTGTTCGATGAAACTCCTGATGACACGGGCGTCGTCGCCCTTCAGCGTCCTGCTTGCAGCCACAACGGTCTGCCGGTGGATATCCGGGGAGCGCGTGCTGTCATGGTCACGGTTGGACAGGTGCAGAAGGATCCCATCGCCGTAGCAGCAGGGCCGGTCGCTCCGGGAGGCCGAGCTCTGGAGGCTGGCGCACTGCGAGTGTGTGGTACGCAGCGTGCCCATGTCAAAGGCGCGTGTGTCCTGCTCACCGCCGCCTTCGTCATCGTAGTGGATGACATTGTCTCGGATGTCCTCGCGCGACGACATGAGCACCTCTTTCTCTTTGTGGCGACGCTGGGACACGTACAGGCCCGCCATCACTGCAACACACACAAAGGAGACGTTAGAGTTGCCCTACAGTAGTGCTTGAAAGTTTACACACCAGGGCAGAGATTACACATTCATGCTCTGGAGATCTGAAGTCTCCATCCCCCAGGTCTCCTGTGTTTCCCTTTAACATCAATGAAAGGCTGGAAACTTTTTTGGTAGTTGTGGATGAGGTTCTTTATCCGTTTTGGTCTCTCTCTGGTTTCACTGATCTCTCTCTGGTCTCTCTCTGGTCTCTCTCTGGTCTCTCTCTGGTCTCTCTCTGGTCTCTCTCTGACCTCTCTCTGACCTTTCTCTGACCTCTCTCTGACCTCTCTCCATGCCCCAGGCTTTTGGTCACTTCTTCCTGTGATGCGCGGACGATTTGGCACTAGTCCAATATCCAATAGTGTTGTATTCCATTGCAAAAAAAAACACACGGAATGTAATACACAAGGAACATTTAATCGCAGCTTTAAGGCCATGCTTTGGAACTTCCCAGGCAACTTAATAACATTGTGTATAAACTCACACACTTTCGGCAACAAACATGTGACCAAACAATTTCAAACTCATCAAATGCAACTCCAGTATCATCAAAGATAAACCCATGTTTTTAGCCATCATCAAACAGAATATATTAGTTTCTACCTCGCAGTGATTTACTTTTCATTTCAGTTATTAGTCCTAGCAAAATGCCAGCTGATATGTGTGTGACAGAAACGCACAAATAACACGCAAAATGTTTGGCTTCAAGTACCTGTAACTTGTGATGCAACCATTATTATTGGGTGCACTCACACAACCGGGCCATTATTGTGTGGGTGGTGCACTCACACATGGTCAATGTTATTATCTGACACAGGGGACACCAACCCTATGCCTGTGGGCACACAGTCGCCCGCAAGGAGCACGTAAGGGGCCCACGAAGCAATAGCTATAACTAATATTGGTCCCGTCTCCGCCCCGGTTGGCGGTTGGCGTTTTCAAAAAAAGGCAGTCTATGCAGCAAATGAGACTTTAAGTGTGCAAAAAGAGACAGTATTCACAGAGATATGACCCGGTTTGAGAGGAAGACAGACAATTGTTAATGGACATGCGGACAAAACCTGCACAATGAGCAGCGATGGCCACCTTTTACGCATGTTTTAATCCATGTTTTAATGATTCACTTCCCTCAAGTTTAATATATAAAGCTGTATGCTGCTGTGAACCAGTTATGAGCCAGGACTGAGCCTGCAGGAGCCACAAAGGAAAACGAGCATCAGGGGGATTGTATCATTGTGATAAAAAAGCAAGTTAACTTCATTCTGTTCCATCAGCCGCTTATCAGTGGATAAACACAATGAAGCAAAATGATGTGAGAAGATGCACTAAAGTCGAACAGAAAACAGAAATGCATCTTTTGCATTGACACATTTTATCTGTCATCATTTACTTCAGCTGTAGTCTTTTCATTGCTATTCACCTGCTGACCCATTGCAAGTAAGTAAGTAATCTTTTTTTATATAGCGCCTTTCACAAACCAGAGTCACAAAGAGCTTTTGTTGTAGGCATTTGTTTCTAACTCCACACACAGATGGAAGCAGGTCACCTGTAGAAGGTGCATGAAATTCCTATTGTGCATGTTTTTGGTATTAGGGGAAACTGGAGCAGAAACGGGAGAACATGCAAACTCAACAAAGAAAGGCCTGGAGGTGGATTAGAACCCTGGATCTTCTTGCTGTGAAAAACAAGCTCTAACCACTGGGCCAACGTGCCGCCTATTTTATGTAATGGGCCTGTTCTACATGCACCTGTGAACGGTCGCCCCCAGCTTGAACTCATTCGCTGCACCTACCTGTATAGGCCGAGCAGGGCCGGCTCAAGGCCATCAGGTGCCCCGGGAAAAAATATATCATGGCGCCCCTTGCACACTTGTAGAGGGCATCACAGTGAACAAGTGTGCAGTGAAAGTAGTCGAAAACTTCCTTCAGATTGAAAAACAGTTACATTTAAATTGTTTTTGGTGGCTCATTACCGCGGCTTCTCTTTCCACTTTTACCTAAGAAACAGCCAAAAGGGGCCACCGCTGTTAATCAGTGTTGGACAAGTTACTTAAAAAAGTCAATACATTATGTATTACTTCAAAATAATGTATTACACTACAATATTACTGTATCTGAATTGTAATGCAATACACTACTACAGCATTACTTTTAAGTTACTTTCTCCAAATATATATAGTTAAAACAGGATTAGGATTTAATCATCTGAAGTTCAATTATTATATAATAATTCCATCTAATAATCGAATAAGTTGTTAAACTTGGGGTAAACTGGTTAATCCTGGTTCAGGTTTAGTCCTGGCTCAGTCCTGGCTCTGTCCTGGCTCAGTCCTGGTTCAGTCCTGGCTCAGTCCTGGTTCAGTCCTGGCTCAGACCTGGCTCAGTCCTGGTTCATCCTGGCTCAGTCCTAGGTCCTGGTTGTCCTGGTTGTCCTGGCTCAGTCCTGGTTCAGTCCTGGTGTCCTGGCTCAGTCCTGATTCAGTCCTGATTCAGTCCTTGCTCGGTCCTAGCTGAGTCCTGGCTCAGTCCTGCCTTGGTCCTAGCTCAGTCCTGCCTGTCCTGCCTGTCCTTGTTCAGTCCTGGTTCAGTCCTGGCTCAGTCCTGGCTCAGGACTGGTTCACAGCAGCTCACAGCTTTATTTACTAAACATGATGGAAGTGCATAATTTTTATCGCTATTTAAAATGCGCCGCGTCAACACTCATCGCGCACGTATTTTCCGCCCGTTACGTAGTATCTGCCTCTGTCTCAAACAGGACTCTGTGAATGTGGACTATTTTTTAACGCTTTAAAGATCAAACCAGAGCTTCGACTCTCATCTATCCATAGGCTGCATGTATCTGTTCATACCTCTACTTTGAGCCCATTTTTCAACCTCTTTTTTTTCTTTGGACTGTCTTTTCATAATAACGTTGACCAAAAATACATCCACCTATCTTTCACACTTTCTGGGATGCGCAAGTGTAGCCAACAGCAGCAGGATTCAATTATGACAATTTTTTATGTGTTTGTAGTATTTAACGTTTTTCTCGTTTCAATCTTACGTGATTGGAAACACGCAGAATAATAAAAAAGGAAACTTAAAAAAAAAAAGTTAAGACTGCAGATGGCCGCTCAGGCGACCGCCTGGGTCGCCTATGACCTGGGCCGGCCCTGAAGCCGCGTGCCGTGGCTGACTCGACAACAGCCGCTAGCTTACAGCTAGTCTTCTATGGTGTACCACAAAAGTCATTTCAGAGGCTGAGCATGAATTTTAAACTGTTGTAAATCTGTAGAGATCCTCAAATGAATGAAGGCCCCTGTCTCCAACACGTTACCAAGGAAACAAATGCCTGTCTCTTACCAATTGTATTTGTTTAACAGGACACACATAGCTAGGAATGCAATAGTTTTTTTTTTTAATGAGAAGGAAACAGAACAATACAACTGTGGTAAACGCGTCCCTCGCTGTTGAACCACTGCTGTTTTAAAGGTCACTGTTTGCAACGGCTCACCCACCTCACCACACGTCCAACACAATCACGACACTCTGCTCCACACCGCCCCCTGAGGCCCAGGCCCCTCCGGATGTTTGAGAACAACTTAAGTCCAGAGCTTTGAGTGTGGATGAACAAGTCACATTTGGTCTGAACTCTCTGCAAAGAAGCTGCCAAAATACATGAAGACAAACTCTTACTGGACGAGCTTTCTGCACAAGGATTGTCTGGTTGGAGTTTTTATACATGTTCATCCATCCATCCATTTCGTTGCATCCGTTGCTCTCCCTCTCTCCACATACTTCTTCGAACTCATCCAGGGGAATCCTAAAGCATTCCCAGGCCAACAGAGAGACACAGTCCCTTCAAACTGTCCTTTGAGGCCCAGGGAGGTGTCCAGGAGACATCCCTGACAGATGCCCGAACCACCTCAAATGGCTCCTCTCCTGAGCCGAGGAGAGTAGAGTAAAATGGTCATAATTTAGGTTAGAACTCGATTAACATTATATGAAAATGGGGGTTTGTGTCTAAAATAATAGCTTCATGTGTATTTGTGTTGACACAAACTGAGACATTTTAAACAGAAATAGATAATAGCATTTGAATATTTTGCCATTACCGTGCACAAACATGCAGAAACATGTATTTCTTTGATACACTACTTTCACCTCTCACACTGTATTCTAATCTTTTTGTGAGTCACCAATACTGTCTCCAGCCGACAAGCAAACATTTTACTCCTGATATATGCAGCCTTCGTCACTGTCCGTATTCTCTTCTATTTAATTAGAGTGAACAAAAGCAGATTGACATCTGTAAATGCACGCTTGAGTTCAGTCAGAGCACAAAGGCCTACCATCCCCTCAGCTCACAGAAGAGCGCTCTGTGCCTGCCCTCTGCTGAACCAATGAGATACTACAACAAGAAAACATGGATAGTATGTTAAAACTTATAACCTTATATTTACTCTATTCAACTCTTTTAGTCCTTAATAAAAATGCAACCAACCTTTTCTACACTAGATATTAATACATAAATTAATACATAATGAAAGTAATAATAAATATATGATTGTATGCTCCTTTTCAGGGCATTTTAGAGCAGGAGACTCCTCCTAACACTGCTGATCAAAGTTTCCCTGTGTGAATGGTTTACTGTTTTTAGCGATTGTGTGGGATATCATAAAGCTCCATCGTGCCCAGGTCTGCTCTAGACTGAGCAGCTCCACTGTCTTTCACTGCCAACAAACCATCTGGTATGTAAATGCAGCTGGATCTTACCCATGAGCAGAGCCGCACAGAGCAGGATGGCCAGGAGCGCCCCAGTGCTCAGCCCCACAGTGAGCACCACGGCCTGGGCGGAGCAGGTGAGCAGAGCGCCCCCTGTCCCACAGGAGCACACGCGCACAGTGAGGGTGGAGGTACTGCTCTGTGCTGGGTACCCGCTGTCCTCTACCACCACAGGGATCAGGTACTCTTGCTGCTGCTGCTGGAGGAAGCCTGAGCGCCGCGTCACGATGCCAGCCGTGTTGTCTGGAACGCAGTGTAGAAGTACACTTCATAAGAGTAGAGGCCCTGCAGACTCCAGGTGAGCCATCAGCAGCAACAGATTAGAGAACCAAACAGTTAAAACACAGGAAATGCAATAATACTAAACAGGAGTGATTGGTCCATAGGGAGTAGGATCACCACTGACCAGAAATGTTTATAAATGTCTAGATGTTCCATCAAAATACTCATACGTCATGTTACTGATGTGACGCCAATGGCCGCGTCCTGTGGCTGACTCGACAGCTGCTATCTTACAGCTGGTTTATTATTAACCCATAGACAAGCAGCTGTGGAATGACAGGAACCTCATATGTCTTTTTACTGATATTAAAGCCTCAGTCCTGGCTTTACAGCGTCAGCCCTGGATCTACAGCCCCAGTCCTGGATCTACAGCCCCAGTCCTGGATCTACAGTTCCCGAACGGTGTTTTAACTGTTGATTTGTAAAGACTGGATTGGCTGAAGAGAGGCGAGTGCTTACTGCCAAAGTCCCGGATGGTGAAGTTGCGGTTGCGGAGCTCTTTGGGGGATTTGAAGAAGAACCTCTGTCCGACCGGAGGCTGGTCCTGGTCAACCGCGCTCACCACCTGGATCACCTCCAGAGAGAAGGGAAACCATACATTAATGATGGAGTACCTGATCGTTTGTTTCAATAACATCCCATGAAATTTGAATCATAGATTACTTTTACTTAATGGAAAAATAACTCATTAATAACTTATTTGGAGAATGTCTCAGAATTCTATTGATTTGAATGGAAGCTGTTAAAAGCCCTGTCTCCACCAACCCTACTCAACTCTACTCTCCCTAATTAATAGAGTTTCCAGTGGTCCTGTTTAACTAGTACCAGGTCCTTCTTTTATCCAGGCCGAGCTGGTACTTAAGTGTTCTAGCTGACAGTAATCGGCCAGAGTGCTGCTGGAAGGAAATTTGCTGGATAATGGTTTGTAGTGAGTAGGTTGCAAGGATATAGTACCAGATACTAATGCATTATGGAAATGCAACAGATTAGAGTAGAGTAGAGTAGAGTGAGATATCGAGTAAAGAATAGTAGAATGTAGAGTAGAGTATGCACTAAGGAACCCATTTGTAAAGACTTTCAGAAGTGCAACATGCTGTAAACAAAAATGCAAGCTCCAGAGAATATTTTAAGACTCTTTTAAATTTGAAGCCTAGAGATTATGTATCCATGACGGTATGTAGGTATTTATTGTTCAGTGAATTTCTTTGATTTCGTGAGTTCTGTGAGATAGAAGTTTGAATTTCTTTGGTAACGTTGTACATGCTCAGTACAACCTTTGAGAAATAACAGCGTTTAACTGCACAGAAAGCATCATATTGTATTTAACGTTTTATACTAAAATAGATTACATTTTTTTTGTTTTTTGTTTTGTTTTTTGTAAGCGTCTTGTCTGTCAAACTTCACTCAGCGCAAAAATTATAATCGGGTGCATGTACACACACTCTCACTTTGAATAATCTTAAATATACATGCATTTAAAGCTTCGGGACCTACTGTAACTTTCAGCCCACACAAATGGAACAATCAATTTCTTTTCTTTAGTTTTCACATCCATTTGTTTTGGCTTGGTGTTTTGGTTACATCTTTAGAACGCCAGAAATATGGCCCTGTGGCAAGAGCTCCGGTGTGTGCTATTCTGGTGGACACTGGGGTAGTCTTGCTCAGTTTCTTTTTTCTTCTTTCAAAAGTGAAGTGTCTCGGACTGTTGTCAGTGCTCCATACCTGTCCCGCTCGGGCCTCTTCACACACGTAGGACTCTGAGGGCACAAAGAGCTCTGGAGGAAACTCATTCACGTCTAGCACCTCCACAAGCACCGACACCTTAGAGAACAGCAGCGGGTTATCTGGAGAAAACATAAGGTTTTGTTAAATTCTACTGTAAGTCACAATATCCAGAAGAAATGGGAAAGTCATTATAAAACATGAGGTAATAATTGCTTGAGTGTTTTTTTTATCTTAATTTGAGCACATTGTGATTGTCTTAAACTAATATCTTCCAATCATAAAAGCCATTTAGTCTTCTTCTTTCATGAATTTTGAGAATTTCTCATTCGTGAGACACGTATTCAGCCTGAGCTGGACCAGAAGCAAACTGGCTTTTTGTGACTGCTTCACTCTCAAGATTATAGTGCTGTATATATATGCAAAGAATATGGATTTTTATACATTTTTCCTAGAGATTTTAATCAGGCTAATTCAATTCACTGCTTTTGTGTATCTCAGATTAGAGAATACAATAATGACAAATATATAGGAACCACTGGATGACCACCGTCCATTAATGTTCAATCATGTCCCGCATCATCCTTGTCCAGACAACAGTAGGAAGAAAGTGTGATGCCCTGAGGAGGCCCATATTGAGAGAGGGATCTGCTCCCACTGAAAGACAGGCTGTAGATTCAGGACTCATGCTGTAGAGCCAGTCCCACTCCCACTTTTTTTTAATACTTCAACTGTTGTATATGTCACCATTGTCAACTTTTTATACAAACTTTGTTTTATGGGTATCTAACTGGCTAAGTTAGACCTCAAAAAGTCTGGAAATCAAGTCATAAATTACTGGGACATGAAAATAAATAAATGCTTCTTTTTGTTGAAATTATGAATTTGATATGCAAAGCGACAGTGGCTCAGTTGGTAGAGCCTTTGGGCCTGGAGATTGTGGGTTCGAGCCCACCATGTGACCCACCTCACGACTCCCACTGATGTCTACTGTCATTGTGTCCTTGGGCAAGACACTTAACCCCACTTTGCTTCCCCGCTGAAAGGCTCCTGTGGACTCATCACCTGCAGGATGCTCAAGAGGGGCTGGTGCTAAGTGTACTGGGTGCAGCTCTGACTGCCACCCCCCGACCCAGAAATGGATAAAGGGGATGAAGATGGATGGATGGTTGGATCGATGGATGTAAAAAGTAATTTGCATTTTTGGACTGCCGTTTCTGCTCATGGGAAGCCGCCCCCATAACCGGACAACAGATAAAGCAGAAGACAAATTTGCAATTGAATTAAAAAAATAATAATAATAATTGCAGAGATATTTTTTCAATCTATAAATATAGCTATGTTGGTATAACTATGTCATTTGAAGTTTGACAGCAGAAGTAAATTTGGGACTTCGAAGCAAAAGTCTATTACAGGACTGCTAATATTGTGTTAAATTATCACTAAATTTGTTCAAAGATTTCATAGCTTAGTTTTACACCAATTACTGTTTTAATACATCCAAACATCAAAGTATGTAAGTATGGTAGCACCTTATCTCATTATCACATACGCTGCATGCATCCAGTGAGTGTGATTTTCACAAGCAAACGTTGCGTTTGCAAATTTAAATTATACTCTTTTAGCTGAAGGCTGTGGATAATGAAAACACCATAAAAGAAAGCAGCACATACAGACTGACCCAAACACATGCAGTCCCCTGAAATTCCAGCAGAGGACGCCCACGACTAACACAACGATGGCAACTGAAGCTGTTGGACTGTATGTTGATTTTAGAATGAATGTTAACTAATTCAAAGCTCAGTCACAAATGGAGAGCTGTTCTACAGCTTAACAACTTCCTAGTCTGTGACTTCCTGTTACTTACATGGCAATAATGATTCGGATTCTGATTTATTCAACCTAAAAAAATTTGAAGTACAATGTAGTTAGTTAGATTCTTTATTGATCCCCGTAGGAGAAATTCAGGTGCCCAGTAGCAGCAAAAACACATTCATCCACACAAACAAAACAATGAAATTGAGGGTTTCCTCAACCATTTGGTAGACCTCATTTTGAGTCACTATATCTACTTGGAACATGGTTGGAACTGAAAACCACCTCATTGGGGCGTCTCCACTTTATTGAAATAGATTAAGCTCAGAATATCCACCCAAGGTCACTGTTTTTTTGTTTATTTTTTTAACAGTAGAACTTTTTATTCTTCCGTCTATTTAAAAAATACTCATTTTGTGCGGCCTATTTTTGGGTCCAATTTTAAAGGTAAATTCTTATCTTCAACATTTTATATAGACTAACAGATGACATAACAATAATATGTAACTTGATGCAAAAAAAAAAAGGTGTTAATAATTTTTTGAAAACATGCGTGACCATTTGGTTAAGTTGACACATTCTAGTAATATTATGATAAATACACATTTTTTTTGTATGTGTATATGTATTATTGTTATTATATTGAGTTATTGTGTTATTCCAATAAAATGTTGATATTTATTTTGATTGTATAATATCAATGGGTATAGAGAGCATTGGTAAAGTTTGGCTCAACCAGGAGCTGTCCTGGTTGAGGAAAAAGAAACTCACAGCCTCTGTCTGAAAGCTCTGTCAAGATGGAAATATAGAAATGTTTTCATGTTTTTGATCACAGATACAAATTTTTTGCATGCCATCAAAAACAGAGTGACCGATTCCAAAGGTCCCAAGATTGTCATTTGGGTCATTCATATTGAATTATTTATTCTTAACAATTATGTTGACCCAATAATTCATCTGAGATGTTAGGCGTGTAACCCCTAGGTGCTGTACATGTACTTGATGGAATATGAATGCATAAAAGTAGATGTAACAGTTTCCATTAAACATTTTGTATTTTTTTGTCCAAATTTCAATAAAAAATACTTCACATGAGTACATTTCTGGCATTGTTGAATTTCCTACTTTCTTTTTGGTATTTGTAGATATAAAATCATATAATATTTTTCCATCAAAATTGCATGACATGTCATTGAAAGAATCCGCAAAAAAAATCCTATTTTATAAAAAGACTGTTTTCATGAATTAAGTGTCTATGCTCTAACCTGTGTGACGTCAAGCGGGTACGCCCTGCATGAAACCATGGTCTGCACAGGACTGCCTTTCCCTTCCTCCACGTGCCCACCAATACTGCCCTCACAGGTGACAATTGCTCACTACACATAAATTGCCGTTTTGAGTGTGAAAAAGTGTCCGAGGTGAGAATTGAACCCAAGTATCTAGATTAGCAGTTCATCGACACAACCACTGGACTATCTCAGTGACAACAAAGAGTTACCTTCTAGTAGTCATCTTAGACTCGCTGTACACTGCCTTGTCATCTTGAATATCCGCGAAAAAAGAACGAATACCAAATTGTAAACAACTTACAGCGTTGAAACGTACCCGTTCTGACGTCACCAAGGGCTGTGAAGTTTTTTCGTTTCTAAGGGCGTTGCTATGGGGTTATTTCAATTTGGGGGGATCAGACAAAAAAACAACAACTGATTTTGAAACCTTTAGTAGTTCTCTTCTAATATAAAATGGTATTAAAACTGTATTTCTAAATAAATCAAACCCGTCATAAGGTCTTTAATTTCAATCTATGTTCATTTGAATCTATTCTTGTATCTTCTCTATATCACAACTGTAGTTATCTTGGAAGACCTTACAAAACCATTGAATTTGATATCGAACAGTTCAAATACAAGATATCCTCCTGTTCCAAACATGGGACTCCCTCCTCCACAGACCACCGGACAAGAGAGGCCGTGGTCAGTCTGAGCAATTTATCAGGTCAATCAGGCTGACCGTGCCAGCTGTCAGCTGATAAATGAAACGTCATAGTGGCCGGTGACACTGCTAAACACGTAAACAAACAAGGTCTGGTTATTATTACTATTGTTAGCTTTTTAGAATGATCAATTAAATTTTTTTATTTTTGCTGCTACTGGACACCTAAATTTTTCCTACGGGGGATTAGTATCTATCTATCCAATACCAGTGGCGGCCCTCAAGGCCTGCAAGGCCTTCACTGCTGGCGTAACAATGATTACATAGATTTTAAATATATATCATGTATAATTTGCCTTATTCTTATAATTTTGTTACTTTTTCAGGTCGACATTTGGGAAATTTGGCGTCTAACAGAGTTTTTAACCAATCATTACTCAGCATCATGTGTTGCTATGGCCCAAAATCTGCCTTCAGACTCCAATCATTGTCCTCGGGGCCAGATAGCAGGCCCTAAGGAAGCGTGTCTTCTGACTGGATTCAAGAGACGTCAATTATAGTCGTTAATATACGTTAATGTGATAAACAGAAACAAGCAAAATATGCTAATATGTGTAGCACGGCAACTTGTTTTAGTTTTTCAACCCTCTACGGCTGAAGGAGATGAATATATAGTTCTATATGACCAGAGCAAACACAGCTGCGGCGGAGCTGAGGCTAATCGCCGATGGGAATAGCAGTTTGTCAATAATGCAGAAGACACGGAGCCGTGTCCTGCCCATGTATCTATTTTAATAACGATCCTGCCTCACCACCGGTAAGAAACCAGAACAAACTCACACGCAATACTTATATTGCAGTTGAACTTTTGCACATTAATGCTCAAAACTGGGTCATGTTCTCAGATACTGTCTAAGAAGAAAGATTTGCATTGTGCACGAGTGTGTCATGCGGGTATCTACAAACTTCAGCAATGTGCCTCCTGTCATTTTAACACAAGAGGCACACTGCTGTGGTCTGTGGCACTAAAAAAGTTGGAGATCGCCGAGTTAGGACATCACTGCAGGCGCAGGTTTGAAATGCACGGACTGCCACTGTGTAATATTGTACATCTCACCCAGTTGTTTTCTTTAAACATGGACCTAAGCAGTAAAAAGGATGTGGATAAACATGAAATATGGACGAAGAGATGACTAGACTGAGCCTCATATACAGTAGCGCTTTCAGTTGGGGACTCTCAGAGCAATGCCGCTAAATGGTTTTCGTCTACAGACATTCCTTCTGCAGACACAACATTAGACCTGTTCTAGAACAAAGCAGCAATTTATTATCAAGTCCCACAAGTGATGGGGGGGTAGTTTGGGGAGCACGGTTTGGGCATAACTCCTGGCAGCAGGAGGTCTCTAACTTGGCACAGGATTAAGGAAGATTTACACGCCTCCAACTGACTAATTACTCTTGAGGGCTTACAGCTACTTACACACACCATCCGATAACATTGCATTTGTATCTGGCAACCAATCGCCTACTATCTGCACAATTTTGCCATGATTTCTGACCAACGTTGTGAGTGATATTCACAATATACTTGCATTATGTACCACTGTAAATATTAAAACATGTAGTGAAATTTATATGCCACAGACATGGACAGATTCATAATGGCCGCAGGCCTCCCCTCCTGCTGGAAAAAGGGGAGAAAAAAAAAAACGCATTTTAAGATTAAGATGAATGTGCTGCCAATAATTCTGCACCTCTTCCAGTATTTACTAGAAGAGTAACAGGTAGGAGGGGTTAACTCCTTTTTCAGATTGAAACGATTGGATCTGAGTTCACTGTGACGTATGTAATGCGCCCGAGCGAGTCGTTAGCATTTAGCCAAGCCATATCCTTTGCCGCTAACGGAGCCCGTGGGGAGTAGCGCCACACATTTTTCCAGTGATTACATTTGCTAAACATTCCTATTGCTTCGCCTTCAATTTCTTGATAGAACAAGACCGGATTACTTTACTATTGCATTTTTCGCCATTGCCGAACTAAGACCTTCCCATTCGACGCAAACTCTTGACGTCACCCACAACTAACTACAACACCCACCTCCCGTGTTCGCTGATTGGTCGGTCGAAATTCAAGCGATTGTAATCGCTAAAATGGGGACCAGATCCAGACGTTACAAGCAGTGAAATGATGATTGAGCGGAGTGTACTGATGGCTGTGCCGTTCTTCTCTTCTTACAACGTGGTTATTTACACACAGATTGTTTTGTTACAGATAGAAATGTCAAATTACCCACACACAAATATGGGTACACACGCACACAGTCCAAGTTACACTTGCGAATCTGCGAAGGCAGGACTGCATCAAATGATCTGTGTGTAAAAAAAGACTTGTGTGTAAAAGGTAAAAATCTTTTTTTTTACACACCCTTGTAACATCTATCTTGTAACGCACATACAAATCTATTTACACATGCACAAATACTTTTTTTACACACACACAAATATCGAGGCGCACGCACAGATTTTTTTACGCACACACACATTTGGTTACAAGCACAAATCTTTATACACACACAAAAATCCGTTTACGCACGCACAAATATTATTGAAAGAATAATAGCTCCATACATACACACAATTTTTTGGCAATGCTGCAAACTGACATGTTTCTGGACTTGTATTGGTAAATAAATCGACAAAATATTTGGACACAAGTTTCCAAAAAAAAAAGCGATAACATGCAAATGGTACAAAGAAGACCCCCCACACCAAACAACTGGAAGGACATTGTGGAAGAAATTCACACCATGGAGAGACGTACATTCAGCATTTAAGGAGCAGTATGTAAACATTTGGCCCAAATTGGTAACGCACTCTCCCTGACACAGGCTGCCATATGTGCAGACAAATCCAGCTGGGATGGTAATATCCGTATAAAAAGTTTTTTCCACAACAAATCTATAACCAACACCTTTTTCACAAAGATAGAAGTCCTTGTTTTGTCATTAATGATTTGAGAATGATAACAAGACCGTTTTTAGTTCTGCAGCAACATGTTACTTTACCAGTGAGATTAGCTCGACAGGGTGAGTTCTGGCAACCCAGAACACGGACTTTCTGATTGGTAAAACGATGGAAGGCAGTACATCGAAATGAAAACAATAACAAGATTAAGGGGCTGTAAAACTAATTTTGAAATTCAAATCACCTTTCAAAGACCAGAGTCACAAAGCGATTTCCAATTGTTATTTTTTTGGGCATTTGTCCTCTCGCTCCACACAGAGATGAGAGCGGGGTCACCAGTACAGGAGGCGCATGCCAGAACTATTGTACATGTTTTTAGTGGTAGAGGAAACCTACGCAGACATGGGGAGAACATTTAAACTCCAATCAGAAAGGCTGTCGCCCGACCGGGATTCGAACCCCGGACCTTCTTGCTCAGAAGCGAGAGTGCTATCCAGCCCAGGAGTGTGTTAAAAGTTTTGTGTGTACAACGAGAGCCTGTGCGTAGCACTTAGGCTTTTTCCGTTCTGTATAACTCTGAATAAGGTACTTTAAAGACCTTATCCAGAGTTTGTATCAATTGGAAATAAAGTTTTGATACCATTTTATATTAGAAGAGAACTACTAAAGGTTTCAAAATAAAAAAAATTGTCTGATCCCCCAAATTGAGAAAAGACCATAGCAACGTCCTTAGAAACAAAAAAAGTTATACCAGCGCTTCTCCCTCAGTGAAGTCACAGCGGGCACCGGTGTGTTCCGGAAGTACATGTCTTCCATACTATCGCGCTTGTTTACGGTTTGTTAGTCTATTTTTCGCACTAAATCGGTGGATTTTTAAGATGACAAGATGTGTTGCAATGTACTGCTCACAGACCTTCAGTGGAAACGCTACAGCGAGCGGCGCTAGGACAGAGCGCTGCTCCATCAGGAGACGGTGAAATACGAGTGAGTCACTATTACAACGTTCATATGTGTTTGCCTTGTAAATTGAGTCATTTCTAAAAGTTATCACATTAATAATAAACAAATGTTTGAGTTTGAACACAGCGTTTGATTGTACCTTTGTTTTAAAAGTGACATGAGTAAATCCCTGTTAGCCTGGCCTTAGCTATCTGTATCCGGTCAATTCGTATTTCCCTACATGTACAAAATGTAATGTGTACGATATTATAAGACCATAGACTGTAAATATCATAAGACCATAGACTGTAAATATGAGTAAGACCATAGAGTGTAAATATTGGTAAGACCATAGACTGTAAATATTGGTAAGACCATAGAGTGTAAATATTGGTAAGACCATAGACTGTAAATATTTGTAAGACCATAGAGTGTAAATATTGGTAAGACCAGGCTAAATCCCTGTTACTCCCTGTTTAGGGAACGTGCATGAATCCAGTCTGTCAGATTGCTCTACCAACTGAGCTACTGTCGCCCCAGTTAATAATCATTTCCCTATTTATTTCCCTGTATAAGAGGCGTGTTTGTGTATTTGCTTTCTAAACGCCTCATCAAGGTCCTTTTCCACGTTTGTCTCTTCTCTTTATTCTAGGAAGCATCAGGCTCAAACATGTGGCAAAAGGTGTAGGACTTTTTCTTGTAACTTGCTTTTCTCTTCATCCGTTGATACTTGGTTCATAGACGAGGTTGTTTCGCATGTTTCTTGTTTGCGGTCGGAATCACTGCCGGTACCCACTGTGACGTCACACTAACGGGTGTGAGGCTGAGACAACGCAAATGTATTAAAAACATATTTTTTCAATAAAATAAAGCAGAATTTTTGCCAGAGACTGTTTCAGATTGGCATTAATTGATTTTCTGTCTTGCAATTTTGAGATCCACAAATATTTGGACTAACCCTGCATAAGGTCTTTAAGTTAGCATGTGAAAACCACTGAAAAAATGAGAAATCTGTGTGAACGACAACTGACCAATACAATATGTTTTCTGTTGTATTTTGTTTGCGTGTTACTGGTATAGTTCGGTGGTCTTCACAGGGATGTTCTGTGGTACTTACTGACTTTAGTGGCCCTCACAGTGATGTTGTGCTGGGCCGTGCTCTCTCGGTCCAGCAGATCATTGGTGGTGATGGTTCCTTCCACTGTGTCGATGTCGAAGCAGCTGTCGGACTCCGTCTTCCACTCCAGAGAGTACCTGCAATCATCAACATTTCACTCAGTTGGTAATTAGGAACATACATATTACAAATAAGTGCTGTAGAACACACTGAAAGAACAGATATGATTCTTTTTGCCTGCTCAATGAGACTTTCATTCATGTTTTAAAATGGGAAACAATAATAGAAAATATGCGGTGACAGATGAATCAAGAAAAATTGGGAGAAAAAAAAAAATATATATATATATATTAGGGATGGGCATCGATTTTCGAATATTCGAATAGTCGTTAAATCATAAAAAATCGAATAGTGTACCATATCTGGAGGGGGGAAAAAATGGTATTACTGGCGGCTTCCGCACGGGGGCAGCGTACCATTTGACGATACACAGTGGCGGGCTACATGCCAAGTCGTAGAAAATTAACAAACTGGAGAAGACACGATGGAGAAATTACTGCAGCAGTCGTCAAAAAGTTCCATGTGGCGCTATTTCCAAAAAACAACTGAAACAGAGGTACAATGTAAACTCTGCGAAGCAAAGCTTGCATATCACAAGTCTACGACAACCATGCACTCTCATATGAGAGCAAAGCACCCGTGTGAAAGCGGCGGGCCGTCGTCACAGCAACAGTCAATTGCCAGCTTCGCCACTAGAAGACGTACATGTGATGACAGACGTGCGGAGCAAACGGCGTCCCTCATCTCAAAGATGATTGCAAAAGACATGCTCCCCATCAGCTTCGTTGAAGGACAAATGTCCACCCCCGCAGATCGATCCCATGGACTGGTGGAAAACTAACGAAAACAAATATCCTCAGCTGGCAAAATTAGCGAGTGCATACTTGTGTGTGCCCGCCACATCTGTGCCGTCGGAAAGGGTGTTTTCCACGGCGGGACTTATTGTAAACAGACTTTGTTCCCGTCTTCATCCCGTGCATGTGGACATGCTGATCTTTCTGAATAAAAACTTGGATTAGGCTTGAACTATTTTTCGGATTATGAGGACGAGCATGTTAAAAAATGTTCACGTCAGCAATGCTGTCTCTCAGGTATGTATAGTAAAATGTTCAACATTTATATAATTATTGTTTGAAGTCTCCGCACTTTGTTAATTGTTTGACGTGACGACGGTATTATTGGGTGATTTATGAAGGAAAACCCGGTCCGCACACGCACCTTTTGTATTGTATATAATATCCTGTTTGTTTAATGGGATTAAAGACTGAAAACGGTTCTATAATGTTGTGCTGTGAATTGCATCTACTGTCAAAATAAAAAAGAAAGAGAAAAATCGTGGATCTATATCTGTTTCCGCAGCGGTGGGTGTTGGGGGCAGTCTGGCGGCAGTTATTGTCGAATATTCGATTAATGATTAGTACCCCACAATTATCGAATAGTACTTTTGCTTTAAATGCACATCCCTAATATATATATACAGTGCCTTGCGAAAGTATTCGGCCCCCTTGAACCTTTCAACATTTCGCCACATTTCAGGCTTCAAACATAAAGATATACAATTTTAATTTTTTGTCATGAATCAACAACAAGTGGGACACAATCATGAAGTGGAACGAAATTTGTTGGATAATTTAAACTTTTATAACAAATAAAAAACTGAAAAGTGGGGCGTGCAATATTATTCGGCCCCTTTACTTTCAGTGCAGCAAACTCAGTCCAGAAGTTCAGTGAGGATCTTTGAATGATCCAATGTTGTCCTAAATGACTGATGATGATAAATAGAAAGCACCTGTGTGTAATCAAGTCTCCGTATAAATGCACCTGCTCTTTGATAGTCTCAGGGTTCTGTTTAAAGCGTAGAGAGAACCATGAAGACAAAGGAACACACCAGGCAGGTCCGAGATACTGTTGTGGAGAAGTTTAAAGCCGGATTTGGATACAAAAAGATTTCCCAAGCTCTAAACATCTCAAGGAGCACTGTGCAAGCAATTATATTGAAATGGAAGGAGTATCAGACCACTGCAAATCTACCAAGACCCGGCCGTCCCTCCAAACTTTCATCTCAAACAAGGAGAAGACTGATCAGAGATGCAGCCAAGAGGCCCATGATCACTCTGGATGAACTGCAGATAACTACAGCTGAGGTGGGGATGGTGTGTTCAGGGTGATGAGCTGTGTTGCTTTTACGCCAAACACATCGTTTTGCATTGTGGCCAAAAAGTTTGATTTTGGTTTCATCTGACCAGAGCACCTTCTTCCACATGTTTGGTGTGTCTCCGAGGTGGCTTGTGGCAAACTTTAAACAAGACTTTTTATGGATATCTTTGAGAAATGGCCACTCTTCCATAAAGGCCAGATTTGTGCAGTGCACGACTGATTGTTGTCCTATGGACAGACTCTCCCACCTCAGCTGTAGTTATCTGCAGTTCATCCAGAGTGATCATGGGCCTCTTGACTGCATCTCTGATCAGTCTTCTCCTTGTTTGAGATGAAAGTTTGGAGGGAGATTTGCAGTGGTCTGATACTCCTTCCATTTCAATATAATTGCTTGCACAGTGCTCCTTGAGATGTTTAAAGCTTGGGAAATCTTTTTGTATCCAAATCCGGCTTTAAACTTCTCCACAACAGTATCTCGGACCTGCCTGGTGTGTTCCTTTGTCTTCATGGTTCTCTCTGCGCTTTAAACAGAACCCTGAGACATATCAAAGAGCAGGTGCATTTATACGGAGACTTGATTACACACAGGTGCATTCTATTTATCATCATCAGTCATTTAGGACAACATTGGATCATTCAAAGATCCTCACTGAACTTCTGGACTGAGTTTGCTGCACTGAAAGTAAAGGGGCCCAATAATATTGCACGCCCCACTTTTCAGTTTTTTATTTTTTTTTAAAGTTTAAATTATCCAATAAATTTCGTTCCACTTCACGATTGTGTCCCACTTGTTGTTGATTCATGACAAAAAAATAAAATTTTATATCTTTATGTTTGAAGCCTGAAATGTGGGGAAAAGTTGAAAGGTTTAAGGGGCCGAATACTTTCGCAAGGCACTGTATATATATATATATATATATATATATATATATATATATATATATATATATATATATATATATGGTAACATCCGGAAAAAAGAACATGAAAAGCTTGAGAAATACCAAGGTCTCAGAGAGGAGTTGGAGAGGGCCTGGAGGGTAAAGGTGACAGTAGTGCCCGTGGTGATCGGTGCACTCGGGGCAGTGACCCCGAAGCTAGATGAGTGGTTACAGCGGATCCCCGGAACAACCTCGGACATCTCGGTCCAGAAATGTGCAGTGCTAGGAACAGCAAAGATACTGCGCAGAACCCTCAAGCTCCCAGGCCTCTGGTAGAGGACCCGAGCTTAGAGAGGGATAACCGCCCGCGGAGGGCCAAAGGTGAGTGGACAATTATATAAAAAGAGGGAGAAATAGAATTTGTTTTCTTTTCTTTTTTTCTCTCAAATTTGAAATTTACCGGCTGCCGACACAGACATGCAATTGTGGATTGATGGAGTGTGACATCACCATAGAGCTGGCCTTAATGTGGAAGAAGATTTGAACATTAACTTAGTCGGAGCCAATTTCCTTTGTTTTGACAATGTTAGGTTTGCACCGTGGGTTGCTCAGATGGGTGCTGAGGCAAGCTGGAGTTTCCCCCATGAATGAAGGCATCTGATTGGCCAATCCTTATATGGTTCCTAAATGAATTTACACATATAATATAACAGTATAAACACCAGGACACAACCTTTACAAACAGTTTACAAAACCTTACAGTTTACTTTTACATGGAAGTCAATGAGAGCCAGGAACGAGTCGGAGCCAAACCTCTATGACTTGGGCTTCATGGAGCTAGCGGTTTTGCAATACTTTTACTTTGTGAACTTTTTACCATTGTGATAGATATGATGACAAATATACAGTGACATGTTAAGTTGAAGTGCCCTGTTTGAGCATTATCAAACATTGCTAACTCGCTAGCTCAAGAGGCCATTAGCGATGTGCTCATAACCAAAGTTTTGCTTCAACTCGCTTTAGCTCCCATTGACTTACATGAAAAATTAAACTCCTCTAGTTCAGTGACTTTTTTTGTCATATTTTTGGCTTAAATATTAGCGCTGTCTGTGATTCTGGTGTTTATATTGTGACTTTGTTTTTGTAAGTCTAGATCTGAACCATATAAGGATTGACCTTTCAGATGCCTACATTCCCGGGGGAGACTATAGCTTGTTTTTGCAACCTTGTTAGCAAAACGTCTACCCCTGTTACAGCGTGAAGGTCTCACAGATGAACAAATGCATGCCCAGTCAAAGGGCATTTGTTGGCTCCAATTAGCTAATGTTTAAATGGCTTCTTCTGCATTAGGACTAACACTATGGTGATGTCACGCTTGGTTATTCCACTCCAAACATACGGTCACAAACCTCAGACAAAATCATTCCTCTCATTAGGCTTGTCTGTGGGCTTGCTTCTAACGACTTAACATAAAAAGATAATGCAAGACATTACGAGATTTGAATTTCTTTGGAAACACTGGACCTCACAGAGCTAAATTATTGATTCTTTTCATAAGCAAAACATTTATGTATTTGTGCGTGTTTAAGTTGCTGGAAGGTGAATACAAAGTAGTTTTTCTGTGTAGGTGGAGCCGAGAGGTCTCTCTCATAACAGACTGTATGTAGTGATGGAAAGTAGTATTTGTATAGCACAGTTCATGCACATGGACACTCAAAGTGTGTAAGAAAACTAGAAAAGAAATATTAAATTAGTTCACCAACAAAGCTGATCAAATCAGGTGTCATAATGTTGGGTTTTAGAACTCGACATGGTCCTGGTGTTTTTTTTGTCTTTGTAACTAGATATAACCCATAACAACGGACCAATCAGGTCTCTTCTCTTCGGTTGCTATGAAAGGATGCCTCCAGAGTCCTGCCCATGTCTGTTTCTCTGTAGGGTTTATACATCGGCATATTTGACCCATTTTGAAAGGACAACATCGGGAAAGGCGTGCATGTTGTTAGAGGTCCTAACAACATGCACTCTCCTGTCCCTCCTTGTCTCTCCGGTCTCTCCTTGTCTCTCCTTGCCTCTCCTGTCTCTCCTGTCTCTCCTTGTCCCTCTGGTTTCTCCTGTTCCTCTGCTCAGGGCCGCAGAGAACATTCATATTTTTAAAAGCAGGCTCAAGACACACCTTTTTAGATTAGCTTTTGTGTAGTAATTATTATTTTTGCGTTTTAGTTCATTTATTTATGTTTTTAGTGAATTCATTTGTTTTAATTAATTAATTTATGCTTTTAAACAAATTTTATTTTTGTCTTTATTTATTTACTTTATCTTTTTTGTCATTTACCTATTGTTATTATCATTATTAGGCAACTGCCATTTTCCATTTTATTGTATTGTTTTGGTATCCCCAGTGTTTCCTCTGGAGGAGCCCTCTGCACTGGGGGCTGGGGTCTGCTGTGGCTGCGGGGGTCTGGCTCTGGGATCTAGAGGGGGTCTGGGGCCCCCTCTCTCCTCCGGGTCCTATGTTGTCCCCTGTGGCTGCAGCCGGCTCTCTGCTCCTGGTGCAGATTGCTCCTTGAATGGCGCTTCTTCAGCCAATTACATCCGCACCCAGCCCTATATCTTTTCAAAGTTTTTCCTATTTTACCTGATGTGATGTGACTTTATATATGTATATCTGTGTGTGTGTGTGTGTGTGTGTGTGTGTGTGTGTGTGTGTGTGTGTGTGTGTGTGTGTGTGTGTGTGTGTGTGTGTGTGTGTGTGTGTGTGTGTGTGTGTGTGTGTGTGTGTGTGTGTGTAAATTTAATAATAAATGTGGCTTTTGTTGGGTCTGTGTGGAGGTGGGGTTTAGGCTTGGGCATATTGGATTGTTTTTAAACCAAACTGTAAAGCACTTTGTGTTGCATTTTTTTGTATGGAAAGCGCTTTATAAATACAATTTGATTGATTGATTGGTCTCACCTGACCGCACTGCTGCTGGTGTCCAGGTCGTAGGCCGTCACAGAGCCGATGATGGTCCCTGGGGCGGTGTCTTCGAAGGTGTCCATATAGTACTCTGCTTTGGTGAAGACCGGGGGCTCGTCCATGTCCAGCACACTGACTTTGACCGTGGCCGAGTCCTGGTACGGGCCCATGTGCAGGAAGCGTGGGTCCAAGTGAGCATTGGTGGCGTCCACTTTGAACATGTATGACTTCTTGGACTCAAAGTCAAGAGCCTGGGAAACATAAAACATGTGGTTTCTCAAAGATAAATCATCTTTTGGAGTTTCTTTACAGTGTTAAAACATTCTTTGACTCGCCCTTGTGAGTCTAGTCTTAAGTTAAGTCATTCAGCAGTATGACCTGCTGACCAGGGGAGAGCAGGAACAAGGGCATTTCCTCCTCTGCCTTTGACCCAACCTGATGCCACTAAGGCTCACGTCAGGAGCAGCGCGTGGGACCTTGATGCTCGGCTTGATCAGGACTACCGAGCTGGAGGATTTTACACAGTGTGTGGTAGGGGAAACCGGAATACCCGGAGGAAACCTACACAGGCACGAGGAGAATATGCAAACTCCACGCCAGAAAGACTGTGATTCGAACCCAGGACCTTCATTCTGAGAGGCAAAAGTGCTATCCACTCAGCCACCCCAGGAACCAGGGGAGAGCAGGAACAAGGGGAGAGCAGGGACCAGGGGAGAGAAGGGAACAAGGGGAGTGCAGGGGACAGAGTTGAGTTGAGCAACCAGCTCAACTCAACTCTGCAACAAGCTTTTACCAGAAAAATATGAACACGCCGGTGCCTTGAAGACTCTGATTGTTGCTGACTGTTCACTCACTCAGACCTAGTGTGCAATAACCAGAGCACCTGGAAGAAACCTACTCTGACATAGACAGAACATGCAAACACTATCTGGGGTAACTGGTGCACAACTATGCTTGACAAATCTTTGTCAAGATTGACAAATCTTTAAACTTCACTTGTTACTTTTATGTTATCAAAGAACTTAATAATAACTGCCTTTGTTAAGACTTTGCGCAGCCTGTCTCCTCCTCTCTCCTGTGCTGATTCCCTGATGTGTGTCATCAACAGACTGTTTTCCCATGTGTTTTGAAATTGAACCTTGAGACTTCAAAGGTTTGGGAAATGTTTGTATTGATGCAAGGTCCTGCAGACTGGGACTGATTGATTGAGGAGGAGAGGAAGTGGGCTTTGTGAGGAGAAGCTTTGATATGGAAATGTGTGACATACATGCATACGCTCAGCCTGCTATAAAAAAATACCTTCTGGACTATAGGAGACCTGTGGGAGGCCTGTGGGAGGAGTACCAGACGTGCCTTCGCACCTCAGTCCCAAATGAATTGGAGTTCACTTAATTCAAACCAAAATTAAACCAAAGCCCTAGAACTTGCACTTAGTGCTTTCTTCACAGATTAAGCCTTTTTCTTTCTGCATTTGACCCTTCCTTCCCTGCTACTATAGAGCATCTGTAAGGAGCAGATGACTAACAGAGGACTCATTTCTAGAGAACTAGAGCAACTAAGAAAAGCTCTGTTCCGTTCAGAATTTCAACCAAGTGTGTTGCCACTCAGCCATTGTACCACCCCAGTATCAATAGAAGAAGAAAACATCTCTGGTATTGACATTCCCTTACTTTAGTAAAAGAAAATTTACGTTTTATATTTTAACAGCTGGAATACCTGCAACAAACAAACTACCTTTATGTCAATATAAGTAGTCCTTCGCTCTCAAAACAGTGGATTATATCATTCGTTTTCACATCATAACTATTTGGCCTCCGTCACATCTTATGATCATCTTTTTCAGAAAGGCAAAGTGAAAAAAAAGAGGGCCCCCCACATTCAGCCAATAAGCTCTCAGCCCAAAGATCTAATGACTCTCATATGCTGAAGATAAACGGTTTTCTAATCAGATGAAGACAGTATGTTGTGGTCTTAATAGTTCACAACCTTTTTCACATCTTTATTTTGGGACAAACATGCATTTATGAATACAGTTTGGTACATGACTAATACTGTAAACATGAGAATATATAAAGTCCTCTGAGACTTTGGGATTTACAACATTATTTGAATTTAAATTAAATAATGTCGACACTTTCCCCCACATGTTTGTCCTGTAGAGGGATCACCCTGTGTGAGCGGCCACTGCTGGGAACACACTGGACTCTCTGTTCCCACTGCTCTGTCGATCAGTCTTATCAATATCCCAGAGAGATAAAGAGACCAGCTAGAGACCAGAGATCAGGGTCCAGAGAGAGACCAAAGAAAAACCTGAGACAAACCAGAGAGACTAGAGAGAGACCAAAAAGAGACCAGAGACACCTGAGAGAAATCAGAGACCCGAGAGAGACCTAAGAGAGACCTGAGAGAGACCAGAGCGAGACCAGAAAGAGACCTGGTGACAACATGGGTGTTGATATATATTAATTAGGGCTGTCAAAATTATCGCGTTAATTCCCGTTAATTACCGTTTTCATTAATGCGTTAAAAAATAATTAACGCATTAACTGAAACGCAATTGACGTGTTAACACGTCAATTGCGTTTCCCGCTATTTTCACGTTCCCAGATGTCTATTATATCAAACATGTAAGGCTTGAGGCAATATTCTATCAAGCCAGCAGATGGCAGCATTGCTCTATGAATGGTTTGAAAACAGCTAGATGCACTTGTGCCTCTTTTTTCTCAGCTTTCTGGTGATTTCAATAAAATTTACCTCTACTCGACTGGGGATTACAGGGGAACAAAACAAGCTAGAAACAAAATTATTTTTGCTGATGAAAGTAGACAGTCCATTCTTTCAGAATCTGGTTTAAGATTTCAGATAGTCATAGTACACAATATTCTGTGGGTCTTGAAAATTCTGTAAAAATCATCAGAAACGGCTGGCAATATGGAAGTACCTGTTCTGAAATAGCCTGGCAGTCAATCGCATGTCCGAATGACCCGCCCATTTATAATAATATCACTCAATGCTGCGGACACGTGCGTGTGTGTGATGGTGACAGCGGTAACGTGGTCATATAATACACGTATATATATACACGCAAAGGGGTCCTTCTCTGATGTTGTGTGACACACGGAGGAGGAGACACACTGAAATGCAACCAAGCTCGCAAAATTAAAGCTGGGGTACCTACATTTTCCCTTTCATTAACAGCTCTTGTTGGTTGTGCCCAAAAGTAGAAGGTTGTGAGAAAGTCAAACAGATTTAAGTACATTTGGTATGAATAACAATGTGTCATTTCATTTGAAAATCTCATTTAACTTCAATTGGAGTGGATTTGAAATAGAATGTTAAAAATGCGATTAATCGTGAGTTAACTCATCATTACTGTGCGATTAATCAACTAAAAAAAATTAATCGTTTGACAGCCCTAATATTAATCATTATAGCTTTTTAGTGTATTGACCAGAACATTTACATGAGCAGTGAAATACAGGTAGAAAACCATCAAATTATGGTACACACATGAAAGGAATGCAGTAAGGGCAGGCTCCTTTTGTGGCACCGGCACCTGCCACAGCTGATCAGTGGCATGTACACAACAAATGGCGTTTAAAACGGCATGTGGACAACAAGTGGCGTTTAAAACGGCATGTGGGGAATAAATGGCGTGTAAAGCGGCATGTGGGCAATAAATGCCGTTTAAAACGGCATGTGGACAACAAGTGGCGTTTAAAACGGCATGTGGGGAATAAATGGCGTGTAAAGCGGCATGTGGGCAATAAATGCCGTTTAAAACGGCATGTGGACAACAAGTGGCGTTTAAAACGGCATGTGGGGAATAAATGGCGTGTAAAGCGGCATGTGGGCGATAAATGGCGTTTAAAACGGCATGTGGACAACAAGTGGCGTTTAAAACAGCATGTGGACAACAAGTGGCGTTTAAAACGGCATGTGGGGAATAAATGGCGTGTAAAGCGGCATGTGGGCAATAAATGCCGTGTAAAGCGGCATGTGGGCAATAAATGGCGTTTAAAACGGCATGTGGGCAACAAATACAGTTGAAAGCAGCCTGTACAAAAGACAACAAGCAACAGTATTAGAGATAGTGGTCCAGTGTGTGAGATTTCATAACACTTTGAAGCAACTTTTGTTAAAGTTAAACTCATCATTCTATCAATGTGCAGAAGCCAGTACTTTTCCCTTGTTTTGTCTATCTGAAGGCCAAGCTACATGGCACCGTGGAAGCTGCTGATTGGAGGTCTCCATGCCTCCGCTCTGTATAATACACTTGCATTCTATTGTATCTGTGTTCGTGTTCGTGCTGTCCCTACCATCGACAATAAAACATGTCTTCTGTCTGAATTAAAGACGCGATCCCAGACTTTGTCATCTTCTTCAGGTGGTGGAAGGACAAGGCCCGCAGCCTTGTCTGTAACATCTAGAGAACAGAAGACTTTTTTTTTTTTACACAAAAAGTGTTTGTTTTTTTAAGCCAAAACTGAGAAACCTCAAGAGAAACCATGCATCTGGACCAGCACACTTGGACAATCTGCACAGCCCCTGATTCCAGTCAGGCTGTGAGCTGCTGAGACATGGACAACACCAGCGTCCTCTTTTTTTGGAAAAATTGGATTACACAATTTGGACATAATTTGGAACAATCTGGATTTCTGAATTTGGACATAATTTGGACTGAATTGAATTGCTGAATCTGGACACTGAAGCTGAAACGTGTGATTGAAAGACACGTCACAGAAGAATTCATGGCTCGACACAACAAATGCAGCCTGAAGAAATCAACACGGAGAATTGGGAGAGACTGTTTTCAAAGCAATATCTGGAACCACCATCGACTGATGAAGTTTGGTATTTTACTGAAGATTGTTGACAAGTTTTATGAAAGATCTGAACATGTTTTATGAGTTTTCTGAGTTTTTGAAGTATTCCGAGTTCTGAGTTTTTTGAAGTACCGAGTGAAGTACCGAGTTTATGAGTTTTTGAAGTATTGAGTTATGATGTTATGTTGCTGTTTATCGATCCTGATGGTCACACGTGAATGTATGACCAGAGGGGGGAATGTGAGATTTCATAACACTTTGAAGCAACTTTTGTTCAAGTTAAACTCATCATTCTATCAATGTGCAGAAGCCAGTACTTTTCCCTTGTTTTGTCTATCTGAAGGCCAAGCTACATGGCACCGTGGAAGCTGCTGATTGGAGGTCTCCATGCCTCCGCTCTGTATAATACACTTGCATTCTATTGT